TAATATTAATTGATGCCACCCTAACAAAATAGGTCAAATAGAACAAAAACAAAACATTTACTGTGCTGTAACCTCTTTGTACGTGACATCAAATCAGATGGTGTTTTGGTGTCCTAAAGTATAGGAGATTAAAAAACAAAGCAAACTGATTATGTGATGATCCACTGCACATCCTAAAAAGAGACCTCCCACTGTAGCCTCAGAAAGTATAGCAGCGTAGTGGTCTAGAGAAGAAAAGAGAGGGCTATAGAAAATTCATCTTCATACCTTGACAAAATCTGAACCCTGAGGTCCTTCAAATGGGGTACCTTGATTGATCACTTTACCAAAAGCAAGCAAATGAAATAACAGAAATAGTTTTGAGTGTTTTGCTTTTTGTTTTTGTTTTTGTTTCTGAGTAATAAGCTGCTTGTTCTGTCTTTTGGATAGAAGTATTTGTTATTTTGGGAGAAATAGCTAAAATGTGCTGCTTTCTCTGTCTATGGCTAAAGCAAAGGTTTAATGTTGGGGAGGATTGGCAGTGATTTACTCTTTTTCTTTTTTTTCCCCTAGACTAGGGGCTGTAAATTAGTTACAATTAAATCTTCAAGTTAGGAGAAGTCCATTTCATTTCTGTTGTGGCTAAACAGTTCAGACATTGTTTCCCTACTCATTCATTGATTTGTTCCAGAATGGGGGTCAATGGTCACATTTTTTAATGCCACTAGTGGCTTTCCTACTTCTAAATAAATGCCAACCCTTCCCTCGCCCCTTCTAATCAAAAGTTTTAGAACTCACCTTTATATGTGCAACATGTAATTCACAGGTTATTCCCTCTTTTTCTTTCCCAGATTTAAACACAATCGAGACCTACCTCTTATGATCTTTGATTCTCTTAAATTATTTCTCATCAGCCTATTTATTATTATTATTATTCTCGTCAGCCTATTAAGACAGGGGCATAGTTCACCTTTACAGAATACTTTTTTAAAACATGTTTCTAAGTCTTAATATAATAATATGAGAAGAATCAGTTGGTCAACAATGTAGTCCTCAATATAAAACAAAATTTGAAATTTAGAGAAAACCAAGTATATTAGCTCTCTTTTTAAAAAAAAATAAACTTTTTTTAATATTGAAGTATAACATACATACAGACATAGCATTTATTTCTGAAGGCTAACATAAGTTTTTATGTTGGTAATAACTGTGTAGGCTGATGAATGCCTAATTAAAAATCTGTCTTTGGGTTTATCTTAGTCCTTGCAATCTTCCCATTTTTAATACCTCTTCTGAACTGTAAATCATCTGTGGTAGAAATATTTATGGTAAAAAATGAAAAGTTTTACACTTAGTTAATAGGAATGTTTTAAAATAAAAATTTTAATATCTGGCCATATGTTTTCTCATCATTATTAACTAAAAGTTTTTCAATATTACATGCAATTCTATTTTTATCAGTCTTTGATTAGGCAGAATATGCCATTTCAACCGTTGGGACATCAGAGTCACAATTATATCATAATGTATTATCTAACTGTTCTGTTTGTATATTGAATGCTATTTTCCCTGACCTCGTCCCACCTGAGGAAGAAACAAAGATTCAAGCACTCTGCCAAAACAAATGCTAGCCCAAGATTCTCTTTTCAAATATGTTTTTTTAGGGACAGTTTTTCATTCTTGGGATGCCAAATAAGGCCAAAGGAGAATTAAAAAAGAGATAAGCTTTGAGCTTTTGGAAGGAAAAATGTGAGAACCATCTTTGTAAAGGACAAAAGAGTAGAACGGAAGAGGTTCAGAGAATGAACTATCATAAAGATTGGACCTCCTCCATCAGACTGATCCGTTTTGGACAACCTGCAAATCTGTGGTCCTGAACTTCCTGAATGGAGGGTAGCAAGCTTGGACAACTAAGTGGGAAAGGGGCTTTTAAAATTTTTTATTAACCATTAACCAAGGTCTAACTTTATTGAACAGTGGGGGAATTTTCCTTTAAGTGGAGTTGATGCTGTCCCCACTATCCTTATTACAGGCACTTAAATGAAGCACCAACAACAGTAATTTACTTTACAATCAAATTAATGCTAAAAATTAATGCTAAAAAAAAGGTTTCCTCCCACAGAAAATATTAAAGGGAATATATGAAGCTGTGAAGATAATTTCAAAAAAGAATTATAGTTAAAGTCTGCACAATGGTTGTTATTGACCTAATTGTTCAATTTCTATAGTCACTATTTTGAAAAAGGAATGACTCAGATAAGTTTAAAAAAATCAAGCAGATTCAGTCATATTTCTAATCTTGAAAGGCTCATTAACTAAACATTATAACATTATAACCTTAAAATTTTGAATCTGGATGTAACACTTTTCAAGCAACATAGTTGGGTTTTAGCAAGGACTTTCTTGAAAAACTTTTTAATCTAAAGAAGTGAAACAAATGGTTAGAAACAATGTGGTAATGCAAAAAGAGAAACGATTTTGGAGGCAGGCTTGATTGACTCTTGTCAGTTGTGTGAATTGGTGAAATTAAACTCAACTTCTTCTGAGTTTTAGTTTGTTCATGTATAGAATGGAAAAATTACTGTCTACTTAGAATCAGTTGTGAGTAGGATTAATAGGAGATAATGAAAAAACAGCATTTACATGCTTATGTGCCATGATTATTATTATGATAATTAATGGAACTTTTTAAACATTCCTGTATGCCAGCAGGGTAGATATTTTTGGGCAGAAAGACTTTGAGTCAGCTGATAAAAACACTTCTAACCATTTATTTGTCTTACCCTACAGTTCTGTAGTTCTTAGTTTGGATCTGTGATGTCATGTTTATATCTTTTTGACAAGGAATAGTGGACACTTTGGAAAGCAGACTCTGTTAGATGGATGGGTTTATTTTATAAAGGACAGTAAGATACCAAACTTGTCCACTACAGAACCACGTAATTTCTTTTTCATATTTATTATCAGGTAGTGTGCTTAAAACTACTTCAAGTTAATGAGATAATTGGCAATGTCAGACTCTTGTTGATTGCCCTGCCATTTATCAGTCAGCAATACACTTGGCAGGTAGCATGCTTATAGGATAGCATCCTTTAGACACATACAGCCTTGATTTAATCTTGATCTTGGGAAGTGATAAAGATGGTGAGAAACAGGTTTAAAAATGTAACTCAAACACTTTAGTTAGTTAATCATCACATTTAAACTCCTGTTTTGGCAAGTAAGAAAAATAAAGTAACATTACCTCATTCACCCTTTAAAGATGTTCAATTATTCTACTAATAATTATAGTGAGTACTGATTAATTAGTCCTTTTGCTTTTCTTTTTCTTCATTCTATTTTCAACTTCTATTTATCTATTTCTTATTATTTACTGGGTTATAAGAGAAGCAAGAGAAAAATAAATGTAGCTGTTTATATTGCTTGCTTATTTTCTTAGTGAAAAAACCATTTGTGGTTAAAATAAGGATTAAAAAATGTATTTGTAGATTTTACTTGTGATACAAACATTTTTCATTAAAAAGCAATGTTCTACTCACATACTAAAATAATAAAGCCCAAACTTCGTACTCTTCATGATTTTCTTCAAATATAATTGCAGGTAGTAGCTTGAATGTCTTTCCAAGCTCTCTTCTATGAATTTATCCACATGATTTTTACATATCTACCAGTGTGGCTGATATGTACAGAATTATGCTATAGGTATGACATCTACAATTTGCAATTTTAATTTAATAATATACCTTGGAGATCTTCAGTGTAAGGGTATCTTTCTCGTTTTTGATAGCTGCATATTATTCCACAGTACAGTTGTATTATATAATTTTTTCATTCCATTGATAGTTATTTAGGCCATCTCTAATTTTTTGATAATATAAGCAATCTTTCAGCAAACATTATATACATAACTTTTCCAGGACACATGAATATCTGTAGGACATACATAGAAGTAGAATTGTTGAAGAGTATATGTACTTTTAATTTTCAGATACTACCAAATTACCTTTAGATATAAACCCATCAGTATATTCCCACCACCATTGTACAAGAATACTTGTCTCCCCTTGTACTTACCAATACTTAATATGTTTAGTCTTTTAAATTTTTGCAAATCTGATAGGCAAAAATCCAATCATTTAAAAAAATTTGTATTGAAGGTCTTTTCATGTGTTTCTTGGCTATTTTAATTTTTTTCTATAGTGATGGTTACATGATTTTGTTTATATTTTATTTTTATTATTTAAATTATTTTGTGTTTAACCATGCACACCTTCCTATATCAATTGGCTTATTATTATATTATTTTTTCTTTAATTTGCAAAAGTTGCTTATATAAATTCTGTATATAATTTTTTCTATTCTGTATGAAGCAAATATTTTCCTCCACTCTGTTGCTTGATGTTGAACTTTGTTCTGTTAATTTTGGTCAACAGCTTAAAATTTTTTATGTAGTCCAAGTTACCAATTGTTTTCTCTTTGCTTTCTGTATCTTATGCTTTGCATAAGGTCTTCCGATTGCCGTGGATTTTTATTTCCTTTTGTGTAGATAACCAAATGTTTTAGGCTGAGTGTCTTTCAAATAGCTGATAGGACTGTATTCCTACATTTCTCTGTCTCCGCAGAGATTACACAAGTTTTCCATTTAAACTGAGAAAGTTTGTTACCCTAGCTTTAAAGATGATGTAGCCATGACTTTTGACAGTCATTTCAGCACAATGTTTTTTCCAATGTAGTTATAATGAGGTAAACATTAAATTATCATCTGGTATGTTTGACTTCAAGCATAAATTTGAATAATTTATGTAGATCATTTAGACAGTGCTGGAGCTGCATACCAAATGCTCTTTGAGTTGTTAACCAAAGTGCTGTGAATCTGCATTTTTCCCTCAATTCAACCCTACTGACTTTAAGTGTCATGCAATTTATGGCAGAACATGGTTTAAATTCTCATTGTTTAATAAAATATTTTAGGTGGAGAAATGAAAGATTTGTTCATGTAAAGTTTCTTTTTTTTTTTTCAGTTTTGTCAAAGCAACATGCTTCGCAGGTCCTGGTTAGGAAACGCCGTGCAAATTCTATGCTTGAAGAAACGAAAAAGGGTAATCTTGAAAGAGAATGCATTGAAGAGCTGTGCAACAAAGAAGAAGCCAGGGAGGTCTTTGAAAATGACCCTGAAACGGTAAGAATTCATGAAAACTGGTAAGTTAGCTTACCTCAACATACAACTATAGACGGGACGTTTCGACTTGAATCTGTTTTCCCTTGTGTTTCTTTTTAAAGTTAATGAATGTGTATGTCACCTTCTGCACGTAACCACTGAAGCTTTTCAGGGGGAAGTACCTTCAAAGGAAAGTTGACTTGTTAGAGAGACACTATTTGCCAAAAGCAGTGTGCTCTGACCAAACTATAATTCAGTTATGTCTACTTATCGCAAATAGTAGGAACCTCATAGTTTGTAACTACTTTCTCCAACCAGAATTTTGTAGTATTTGGTGAAGGCAAGGCATCTTGAGTGTGTGTGTGTGAGACTGCATTGTTACCACTAGACTTCATTAAATCTCTCCATTGGCGTTTTCATCCAAGCTTTAGAAAACAGGGTCTCTAACCCAGTGCTTGGTACATAACAGCTACTCAGTGAATGCTTACTGAAGAATTCATTACAGCACAGTGTTCCCTGAGGATATTTTTACTTTATTCCATAAACCCTTGGAAAGTTTTCTGAGCCCACCTTAACTTCATCAATAATCCCTGGGGTTAGAATTTATATTTTCAGTGTATACATTTTTCCAAGTTAGCCTAGAAAAATATAATCCTAAAGACCCCTAAATATCATACAGAAATATGGGAGCCCTAGATCTGATCTTTAGTCCCCTAATTTTCCTAAAGAAGGATGTTCTCTAACATGTCCTGCATGTAGCAGGAATATCAGTAGCGCCTCTAAGAATTAGGGTGAGGGTGACCTTGAGAATTCAAGTTTGATAACTTTCAGGATTACTGCAGATGCTTTTTCCCGAGATAAACTATAGAACTAAAAGGAAATGAGGGAGAGAATATATTCAAAGTACCCCCTTTACCTCTGCCACGGCTCCTGAGACCCTGAGACTAGATGAGAAACAAGTCGGAGCCACTTGTTTCTAGTTAGAGAACGTGTCCAAGACAGTACTAACTTGCATTCTCTGGGACTGCCCTTTAGTCCTCTTACCTCCACCTACTGTAATAGGTTCAAAGGGAATTTTTCCCAAGGTACCCAAAGATTCATTTTTAATACGCTCCAGGATTAAATCAAAATGCTCCTCTTAGTTTTGTTGCTTTCTGTGGATAAGCAAGTGACAAGATAAAAATATTTTATTCCACACAATATAACAATGTACTCTGATTGTGTAGGAAATAGATACACACACATATATATATACACACACAGTTCTTTTTATTACAGAAATTGAAAACATATCCCTAAGTAGAGAGAACTATATAATAAACCTCAATATATCTGCTTCCCCTTTCAATGAGTAGTAACAATCTGCCATTCTTCTGCCCGTTCTCTATCCTACGCACTCTAACTTTTGTTTTGTTTTGCTGGAATATGTCAAGGCAAGCCTGAATGCCCAAGATTTCATATTAATGTATCACTCATAAATATTTGGCATGTGTTTCTGACCCTATAGATATGTTCTCATAGCTTAGCCTCTGAACAGCAAATGGGGAGTGAGGCAGAAGACACGTGGAGAGAGGGAAAAGAATGGAGAAAGAAACTCGTTTACATGTTTCCTCCCCTCCACTCTTCTGGCAATGGCGTTATTGACAGACAAGAAAGAGGAGACAGAGAGAGTAAGGAAGAAGTGGGAGAAATGAAAGGAAAGAAAAAGACATTTGTTATTGCTTCTCACTTTCTATCTGCCCCAAACTCTCCCTGTCCACATCCCTCATACCCTGGTACACATTCCCCATCACCACCCTATTGCTTCTTCCCACGTTGTCCCTGATATATTCCTTTCCCTATTACATTATCTCCTTTGAACCCATTCATCATTGCTTATCCTCATGGCCTTTGTTCTGCAGACGACAACACTGCTGTCTCAGTTGCTTAGAGGGAGAGCATATCCTTATAAACTAGTAGAAAAGTGAAGTGTTGTGTAGGTTTATATGTGAGAGGAGGAAGGAGTGAGGGCTTTAACTCTGTCCTGGATGGAGGTATGTTCTGTACTCAAGGCTGTTTGGGGGAGAAACACTGTTTTCTCATGAGAAATTCTTGTGTTATTAATGCTGCACATTGGATCAATTATGGCTTGAGAAGGCTTTTGTGAACCAGCCTGGGGCCCTTACCATCAGAAATCATTTTTAACATTTTTCTCCTTTTGGTAAAGTGCATGCCGTAGTCTGAATTACTGATTCACAGACAAATTCTTGATACATAACCAATTTATAAGTAAGGGATTACATGTACACAAGATGCTGAAAGATAAATATCCACTTTAACTCAAATTGTATTACTGTTATTCAACACTGAATCTGATATGTGTAATCAGCATGATGTGAAATGTACCAAATAGGCATCTAGTAATCATGGAAAAAATGAAAGGATTTACAAAACAGGGGCATTTATGATCACATTCAACATCTTCAAAGGAACCTGTTTTCAGATTAGAAGCTTTTGAAATGTGATTTAATTGATCAATATTGCTTTAAATCTAAGCATCTTACTGGCTTAATGTTATTAGCTGTCTACTCCAGATAAATATTTTACTAGAGAAAAATGCTCTATTGTAATGTGAAAAAGACTGTTATGTGTAATTTGTTTGCATCTTTAATGCAAAAACATTTTTAAATTAACTTTTAACTCTATAGTGAAATTTAGGTTTGCTAAGATTTTTTTTCTTTCTTTCTAGGAATATTTTTATCCAAAATATTTAGGTAAGTTCAAAGAATCTCAGTTCTGTAATCTTAGAAATGGAAGAAAACTTAACTATGATCGAGTCCAACCCTCCACCCATATGTATTCCATCCAGTACAATTTCATTAACCTTGGGAATAAGATCTCATTCTATATGCATTTTCTATCCTTTAATTTAAAGATACATAGACAGATTTGGAATGGTCCTTTTAATTGCTGTATAACATTTTGAATTTTAGTCATTTTCATTTTCTTGTCTTTCTCATAAAAAGTCACTGAGCTGATGCAATGTTATATTTAGGTACCAGAACATTGTCTGTAAGCACTTGAGTTTTCAAGGGTTATCTTTCAATGAAAGGAAAGATCTCTATACTCTTCAGAGCTTATGACATAAATAATTATTTAAATATTGATGGAAATCATTAATAACTTCCCACTTTGCAACATCATTGTATCATTTCCTGCAATACTCCACCCATGTTTTGGTTTTGGATACAGTTCTGGACGCTCAAGGAATGAGGTAGCATTTCCATACCCAGAGAGATTAGATGATTTCAACTAAATGTCAGTTAAAGATAAAAGTCTTCAGTTTGGTTTAAGCAAATAGAAAAAACATTTTATTAATATTTTTGAGGGGAGACTTGTCAGCATTTCCAAAAAATGAAAGTGGAATTTAATTTGATGAGATTCTCTTAGGTCCAGCCCAAAGAGGTGAAGTCTTCCTCCTCCTTTAGCTCAGAATTTTCCCTATCTGTGCAGCTATCTTCCTACCCCACTCACAAGCCAGCCAACATGAGACTCCAAGGCCTGCAGAAGTGAAAAGTAAATCTTCCTTGAAAAAAAAAATAGAAGTGTAATCTGATTCATATTAAAAAGTATGCAGCTTAACATTGTTAATATAATTAAGCAAATAACTGTTTCCATTAAACCCTCATTTGTCTTGAAATATGAGGAAGCTGAGGGCTTTGTTAGTTTAGGGTGTTACATTTTGTTTATTTTTGTTTTGTTCCTGAATACCCATGCAGAAATTCCAGAGGCCATTATTAGATAGAGGAATATTTATACCTTTCCCCTTTTCCTAGGGAGCCTTGCACTGAATTGATGGTATGTGCATATATTTACCCTTCAGGACAGTTAACAAGATAAGAACGCAACATCATTGGGTAGAAGACCCTCTCAGAACCAGGTGCTCTTTTTCATAGTTCCTAAAGTGGTTACTTTTCTGTATTTTGAGTGTCCGTGGTGGTGTGAATCTTGGCTGTCACTTCCTGAGCCAAGGAGACCCAGCTACAATACACTGCCTCTCACTTTACACTTTCATCAACTGCAGGACATTGTTTCAGTAGTATCTCTCTTTAGAATTCCATAGCATGACCTATTTCTGTTCTTGGGCTGCTGGGTGTTTTACAGTTGATTTATTACAATTCTTTTTATTAATTCCAATCCATCCTCTATCCCCTGCAAGATCTTAAAATTATTTAACGTCTAGGAGCTATAGTTTTCCCATTTGTCAAATGGATAGTAACAATTTACCTAATAATTTTCTACCAAGAAATAAAATGAGGTAATGCTTTCAAAGCAGTTAGTAAAATATGTCATGCTAATCTCTTAATTTTTCCCATGCTTTCTGCTCTAATCCCGTTTTCTTTTCTTTCCTTCCCTTCCCTTTTCTAGCTGCTAATAACAGACTTAAGCAGTTTCATTTACGTTTGCAAAGAGGACACCATAAAAACTATGTAGTGTTATTATTTATATGTCTAGATAGAAAATTCAACAAGTTTTTCTAAAATTTATAGCTGCCATATCTTAGGAGGGCATTGGAATATAGGTATACATCCATAAAAAAATTTCTTCTTTTGTAAAGGTGTACTTTGACTCCTCACTTTCCAAAGCAGAAATAAGAGTTTATACTATTAAAATGAAGAAAAGATAAAATATCAATACTATTTCAGTCTCTCCACTTTAGGTAAGAATTCTAATATTTTATAATTAAAATAGACAATATTTTCCTGTTAAAAATTACAGCTTACATTAAAAATGTAGTATTAATCCTTGTTTCTTAGGTCCATGTAATGTGGGTGTATTTTTGCAGGCATTAACACTCTGGAAGATAACGTACCTTTGATCACAGAGTACATTTGGATAAAGATAAATAACCTTTTAATACATTATGTGTTTTGGAGAAGGTAGATAAACTATTTTTCTTTTTCTCTTTCTATTCTTACCAACTTTCTCTCTGTCTCTACTCAACTTTCTCTTTTTTTTGTTTATCTTATTTGGTAGCATGATAGAAAAGTCAAGTCCTAAAAAAAAGGTAGTAGGATGTGGGCTCTAATTTCAAACCTAAAAATTTCTACTGCATCAGGTTAAACAACTTATTTAACTTCTCAGGTTCTGTATTTAAGTTATGCTATAACTGTATTTTCTAATTGCAGAGCTGTTGGTAATACCAAATAAGTACATGTCTGTAGATAGATTTTTTTTTCACTATGTAGAACTTTCTTCAAATATGAAGTATTATTATTTGATCAATGTATATAATGAAACAAAAATCAGTTTTATTACAATTTATTTTGTGATTCACATGTTATATTTTGGTTTTTATTTAGTTATAAGCATATGTGATGAATTCCAATGATGAAAACAGAAAAGAAATGCTCCAGCGAAGTTAAATGTTTTTGTCATTTGATGTGTGTATTCTGTAGACCAATCACCCTAATTGGGGGGGAAAAAAAACAAAGACCGGTTTATAATCCTGTCTTTGGAAAGCCTAACAGTAATTTTACTAATTACCACAGGTCATGCTGGGAGCTCCCTGCAGTGAGATAAGGTCACCCAAAAAATTAGACCACTAACACTAATTCATACTTTTTAGACAGCATTTAGATTTAGAGTTGTAAGGGTTTTCAGAAAGCACTTTAGTCTATCCATGTATTTCATGTACTGCACCGAAAACATGGAATTTGGACAGAAATACTTTGGGTTTCATAATATAAAGATAAGTTTTTAAGTTGTGTTCTTTTCCTTAGCAAACAGAATAAATAACTCCACCATCTATCTAGGCCTTTAAAATATCACCCAGTAGAACAGATGATTAAATTAATGGGGGAAAAAGAATTTGAGAAGAAATTCTGAGCCAAAAAGTAAACATCAGAAATAGTTTTTAGTTTCTAGTTCTTGCCAAATTGGTGGGTTAGCCCAGATTGCTGACTTCTCTTAAAATCATCTAAAGAGAAACAATAGCATTCCAGGCACTAGTAATAACAAAGTAAAATGAAAACATCAAGAAATGCGAGAAATCCATGTGAGACTGAAGGCTGGCTTGACGTAGTGTGTGAGTGTGTGTGTAGGGATCTGGCGCTGACTGCTGAGGCAGCTGTAAGAGGACAGATTGGAGTATTTAAAAAATGACCTGAGCATTCATCAAGCAGATTTTTAAAAGTACAACAGAGCAAACCCTGAGTAACAAAAATAAGGAAATAACAAAAATAGGGATAGAAATAAATGGAAAATAAAAGAGAGAGTTAACAAAAGAAAATCTCACTCTTTGAAATAGTAAGTTAGACTGACTTCTGGCAAGCATAATCAAGGAGAAGGAAAAAAGGGAAAGAGGAATGCCAAAACACAAAGTGTAGAATAAAAGAAGGAAATACGATGACCTCAACATGGATTGGATTTATCATCATACAGATTATAGAATAAAATATAATCATAGAGTATTACAAAAGATAGTCATAAAATATTACAAAAATCTACACCAAAATATATTTGGAAGCTTGATAAAATGGATACATTCCTAGAAAAATATAAAACATCTATAATTTCACAGGTAGAAATAGAGAACTTAGTTATACAAGTAATTACTAAATAAGCTAAAACTTAGTTATACAAATAAGTACTAAATAAACTAAGACATCTCCATATCTCCCCTCAATTTCAGACCCAAATATTTTGCAAATGAGTTCTTCCAAATTTAAAGAAGCTGTTAAATTCTCTTATAAAATTACCACAGAAAATAGAAAGAGATTATATAATGTGAGCTTATTTTAAGGCTGATATAATCTTAATTCCAAAACCAGAGAAGGACAACATGAGAAAAAATAATTTACATATATTAATTCTAAGTAAAATGATATTCAATCTAATCTAAGAATATTAAAAATAATATATCATGATCAAGTAGGACTTATTCCAAATATTCAAAGATTATTTAACATCAGAAAATATATTAATGTAATTCTCCAGATAAATAGTATATTATTACTATTCATACAGAAAAAGCAGTTGATAAAATTCAACACTCAGTTATGATAAAAACTTTTGGCACACTTTAAGAGAACATTCTGAACATGGTAAAGTATGTATAGAATAGCCATACAATTTTTCTTCTAAATTTTGATACTTTGTCTATGACCAGTACTCCACTAGATAATTGCCAAGTGAAACAGAATAAAATAAAATTTTTCTGGGCAAATAGACATGTATGGTCACTCTAACAATATACACACAAAAGAAAGAGAGCGAGAGAAAAGGAGGAAGGAAAGAAGGAAGGAAGGAAGGAAGGAAGGGGAAAAAAGAAAGGAAGAAAAAAGAAGAAAACTTACAGTAAACATTATACTTCATGGATAAACTTTATAGTCGCTTTATGATTGAGAACAAGAAAAGACACACTAGAGGTTACAGCCAATGCAATGGGGAAAGAAAAATAAGTAAGATTTGTATAGATCATGGGACAAAATATATGACCATCATTATTTGTAATTAAAATGATGATATACCTAGAAAAAATAGGATCCATAGACAAAATATTGGAACACATAAGAGATTTTAGATAATTCTAAGACTACTCTATATAAATCGGTAGTGGATCTTTACATAAACAAGTTTCAGTAGGGAATGAAAAGATGATACTATTCACAATGGTAGCAAGTCCCATAAAATATCTGGAAATATCTCAAGAATGCATAATACCTCTATAGAGAAAACTTTAAAACTCAAATTAAGGATATAAAAAATGAACTAAATCATAGACACATTTCATGGCCTTGAATTGAACTGAATTGAATACGAAAGAAGATCATTTCTCCTCAAATTAATCTATATATTCAGAGCAATGCCATTTAAAATTCTAACTGATTTTTTTTTTAGGAATTCAGTAAGTTCAAGTTTATATTTAAATCAGATTATACAAGTCCACAAATGCCTAAATAAACCTTAAAAATGCAAAAGGAGGAAACACCTCATAAAATACAAATTATACAAAGCCATAGAAAGAAAACCACGTAATATTGTCAGAAGAATATGTAGACTAATAAATATAATGGGGTTCAGAAACAGACCCATGTATATATGGCAACCTAGTATTTGATAAAGTTGACACCACAAATCACTGTGAATTGTTTAGAAGATGGTGTCAGGAAAACTGGCCAACTGTAATCAGAAAAATAAATCTGGGCTTCTAACTACCACCAAATATAAAGTGGATTCTAGCTGGAATAAAGACAAAAATGTTAAAGTAAAACTATGAAATTAAAGGAAGAAACATGGGAGAATATCTTTGTGATCAGTGGCATGGGAAAAAACTTCAAATGCAGCAAGCCATAAGGTAAAATTATTGGTAAATTTAACTACAGCAAAATTAAGAATTTCCTTTAAAAGACAGACATAAAAGATATGTTTAAGAAACAAGTAAAAGAACGAGAGATGATATTTGTAAGTGTGTAAATCCACATGAACAATAAATAAGTGCCAATAGAAAAATGGTTAAAAAATAATAAAATTTTCAGAGGAAGAAACCCCCCAGTTTTTTAAATGACATGAAGATATGCTCCATCTCACTAGAAATCAGAAAACAATATATTACTTTATTGCCAATTATGGCAACAGTTAAGAAGTCAAGATACAGACATTCTTATGCTCTGCTGGTGGGAATGTGCCTCTGGAGAGCTGTAAGTTCATGCCTTTCTAATGATGCCACAATTCTGGAAACCACTGGGTTTCCAAAGAAATTCTTATGCACGTCCTAACGAGACATGCAAGAAGATATTTTTTGCAGCCCCACTTGCAGAGGTCGGAAGTTAGATATGAGTGTCTATCATGAGTAGGGAGGATTATAAAACCAGTGGTTGCATGCCATGAGTAGTGTTTAACACTTAGAAACAATAAATTATGTGAGCAGAATGGATGAATTATAAATACAATCATAAAAAGTGCTGAGTAAAGAAACATTAGAGAGTGTGACATAATACGAAGCTGTTTACAGAAATGAAAATTCATGGACACAAAATTATACATATGTATTTTATGAGAACATACAAGTGGAAAAAAAAATCTTAACCAGTTAGAATGGTTGCCTAAGGGGTGAATGGGAATGGAAATGGAGATTAAAAGTAATGTATACTTTTAAAAGCAGCAGGTGATGGACTTTTCAAAGACCAATAGTAATAATGTACCACCAAAGGAGGAGTATGACTAACTCAGCCTTCCATTCAAGAAGTCAGAACAAGCAAACTTTCAGACTTTTATGTGATGGCTCTTTTGTGACTTATAGACAGAGAGGATCTAAAATGGTTTCTTGAAGGAAAGGAAAATTCACTGAACTGACCCCACTGTAATCCCAATGCAACCTTTGTTGTTTATGTGGCACTATTTTTGAACTATTTTTTCGAGTTGACGAATCGAGGCAGATAGGACAGTGGTCCCTACAGCATGTGATAAATCAGATAGTTGGGTCATTAGTATGGCCAATGGGGAAAATAGTAAATAAAGGGTGTGTATAGGAACAGTCATAGTCTAGAATCAAGATTTCTTTCTAGGATGTTCTGCCCGGCCCAGTGGATCCTCTCCTGAAAGTGCCTTTTCCTTGGCTTTCCTCCCGATGGCCCCGATTTCTATTTCTAATTCCATTTCTTAGGAGAGCTTCTGCTTCAGGCCACAACTGGAACAGTCTCTCTCCAGCTCTCCCCTTCCTGCTTATTCTCTCCAGCTTCATCCATTCCTGATGTGCATCAAGAAAGAGAAGTGGGAAGGCCATGCTGCTGGCTCTCCACACTGTAATTCTAAATGCAGGTTTCCAAAAAAACATTATCACATATATTAGTATAGACCAGGACATACTGTGCTTTAAAGGTTGGACCTACTTTGTAGTCTGGCCTGGGGTTCTAATTACCACAGGGAGCATTTCACCTGGATCTCCAGCTTAAGGGCTTTTAAAATTTGGCCGTCAGATTTGTCCAGAGGTACAAAGTGAGGTTTTCTTACAAATGAGGATTCTAATGAAATGTTCACACTAGAATAAGCTAATTCTGGGAGTAGGTGATTCAGGAAGAGGGACAAAAGAATTCAGGGAAAGAATACTCAAGACCTAAGGCTGCTTAGGTTTCTCGGGGCCTCCAGAAAGACTGCCGTGATAGAAAGTATTGTTTCTATGGGAAATTATTCTAACTCACCATGTTAGACTAAATAACCTTCCCCAAAGATCATGCTCTAATCTTCAGAACCTCTGCATGTTAACTTGCATGTTATTTTTGAAGATTAATTTAAGGGTTTTGAGATGAGAACACTATCTTAGATTATCTGGGTGGGCCCATTAGATCCTTAAATGCCCTTATAAAAGAGAGGCAGGAGATCAGAGTCCATAGTAGTTTAAATGACAATGAAGAGTTGGGAGTGATGCCAGGATAGGGCCCTGAGCCAAGGAATGCAGTAGCTGGCCTCAAGCAGCCGGAAAAAGGCAAGGGAATAATTCTCCCTCGAAGTCTCTAGAAGGAATGCAGTCCTGCCAGCACCTTAATTTTAGACTTTTGATCCCTATACCTGTAAGAGAATAAATGTACGTTGTGTTAAACCACTAAGATTGGGGCAATTTGTCACAGCAGCAATAGGAAACTAATGACCACGCTAACTTCAAAGGAGCCTTTGAACCCATCTGTGATAAATTGCATTTTCCAAAAATGGCTGCCTCTTTGGATAATTTGTGCCATGATTTCGGGTCAATAAGTACGTCTACTCCAAGAAGACTGTATTTGTTTGTATTTACAGGTTGTCTTGGCTCTTTTCGTGCTGGATTATTCACCGCTGTACCTCTCTCAACTAATGCCTACCCTGACCTAAGGAGCTGTGTCAATGGTAAACACCTCTACCATCAACTTAAACAACAAAACAAAACAAAAATCTGCAAGTAAAGTACACCCATGTAGATAGAACTAATGTTTAAAAATCAAAGAATGAGCCCTTGAAGGGCTACAGGCCCCTCAAGGAGGTGCTTTTTTTTTTTTTAAATGAATCTACCACCTAACATTTAAATTGAACAGTGTTCCTTGTTTGCTGAACTTTTAGGTCACTGGCTTCAGAATTTTATTCCCAATAGCTTTATTTTGGCTGTTGTCGCTTGATCATGTAGTTATGGCCAAATATTCCAGTTGATGAACAGGTGAAAGTGGAGCCACATTTATTCTGACTTTTGGCATCAATGATATAAATGTGGAAAATACTGTGATGTCATATTAGCCTTTTCCCTCTGAAGTTCACATGAGGGCTAGTGCTAATTCTGGTAGATTGTTTGTTTCTAGTTTATCAATTTCCCAACTGAGAATCAGAGAAAAAAAAGTGAAATTGCAAGTTGTAAACTGAGATGTTTGTCCAGTGAGTATTTTACATGCAGCATTGGCAAAATTCATTTATCTGCATTTTCTGTAATTTAAATTTGAGTGTAACTACACAGGTGAAAGTTTGCCTGAATGTGTGTATTTAATCCATACTTAATTTTTTTAATTTACCGAAGGCCAGAAAAATAATTTGATATTTTCCTGATTGGCCTGTTTTCTGTCATTTCAACTAATACTGAGTGTATTACTGCTTTTCAAAAAACTTAATTTTGTGAGGACATTTTTTGAAAAATTCAGTAATTAGGCTTCAGCTAGGTTTTAAAAAAATTCTTTTTGCAAGTAATAGAAAATTCCTCTGGCTTACTTACGCAAAGAAGAATGTATTGGGAGGATGGAAAGAACTTGTAGAGTTGACCAGGCAGGTTAAACAGGTGTGGAAATGCGCAGGAACCAGGGACCATTGCAGTGTCTAGTGAGGGGAGAAAGACCACAAATAAGTCAAGAAACAAATGGGCGTATCATTTAAGATAGTGATAAAGCAATGTGACATTTTTTGAAGAAAATGTCCTTCCCCCAGGAATCACAGTATTCTGCTATCTGTTGCCCAATGTCTGAAAACCTTTTGAGCAGAGCTCTATTTATTTGAGGCAGGAGAATAAATCCGGTCCCTGTTATTCCATCTTAGCCCAAATTGGAAGTCTCAAATTTTTCTATTAACACTGAGTAGTTTTATATGTTCTGCTTAACTCATGGAATTGTTTTAATGATCAAAGTAGTATATATGAATGTCAAATTGCAGTTAAAAAATGCTATGTATTTGCAAATATAAAAGTAGTTCCCTTCTGGAAAATAATTATAAAGACTTGTCTGATGGATTCACTTTTTTTTTTTAAAGAAAAGGTATTATTTGAAGGAAGGAGTTTAATTGTTTTTTCCCATTGATTGTGAGCTTTGTGTGCAGGATTTCAATTAAGGGCATATAATTCTTTTTTTTAATTTTTAAGATTAAAAATTTTTTTATTGAGGTATAGTCAGTTTACAATGTTGTGTCAAATTCTGGAGTATAGCACAATTCTTCAGTCATACGTGAATATACGTCTATTCATTTTCATATTCTTTTCAATGTAAGCTACTACAAGATATTGAATATATTTCCCTGTGCTATACAGTATAAACTTGTGTATCTATTTTATATATACCAGTTAGTATCTGCAAATCTCAAACTCCCAGTTTTTCCCTTCTCACCCCGCTCCCCTTGGGCATATAATTCTGTTCACCATGGCGTGTGGTAAAAATTAAACAGATGTGTATTTCCTTCAGCCATTCCAGATCAATGTAATCCTCTGCCATGCAATGAAGCTGGATATTTGATCTGCAAAGATGGCCAAGCTGCATTCACTTGCATTTGTAAATCAGGTTGGCAAGGAGAGAAGTGTGAACTTGGTACGTATGATACACCCAGGCTCATCTGGACTGGCCTCCTGAAAAGTTCTCTGGAAGCTTTATTACTTTAAAGATAATTTATTTCCTCCTTTTTAGATATAAATGAATGCAAAGATCCTTCAAACGTAAATGGAGGTTGCAGCCAGATTTGTGATAATATACTTGGAAGTTACTACTGTTCCTGCAAAAGTGGTTTTGTTATGCTTTCAAATAAAAAGGACTGCAAAGGTAAGAGTAAGAAGGTAGAATAAAATGGTATTTACTGGGTGAGAGCAAAATTCAGTTAGAGAAATTTCCCCAGGAAATTCTTGGAAAACTCTTGGATTATAAGCGCTTATAATAAATAACACATTATTATTCACCTTGAAGCCTTGTGATACTAAGAGACTGCTTTTTTTGTTTATTGTTTATAGGATCTTTATAGAGTATTTTATTGTTTTCCTATTATATAATTACTACTTATAGAGTATTTTGTTGTTTTCTTATTGTGTGTATATGTGTGTACATGCACATGCATGCATTTTAATGAATAATTTCATTATATGGTGATAAAGTGAAGTTTCAGTGCAAGTCCTTGCATACTACAGTCTTTGTAAAGTCATTGTTTATCCTTCTTCTTTCCACTATAACATTATTTCTTTTATTCCAATAAGATAAACAGCTTATAAAGAAATCCATCACAGTCCTTAACTTCTTCTGTTACATTTTATATTTCTTTGTCAGAAATACCTTTCTCATTTCCAATATCAACCCTTCATCTTGCAGCTCATTTCCTGTTGTGGTTTTATAAAAGATGAAGATCTAGTTTTCTTTCTCTTTATGCATTTTAGATCATATCACTGGTCATAACTTTTTTTTTAAATTTCAGATTTAAATAATTCCTGTCAGTTTAGCTTTTTAACAAGTCATTGTACTAGCATATTTCCTTTTTTTTAATACTTCTCTACTCCCCCACCCCCATTTTAACTTCTAAAGAATTACTAAATCTTCAAATATAAGTGCTAGGCGTGTGAGTGACTAAAAATGAAATTTTCCAGCCTGGAGTTAAACTTTGCCTTTACAAGTTGGGAGCAAGTTTTTCTTCTTTTCCTTCCTTCTTACTTCCTTTCCCTCCTTTCTTTCCTTCCTTCCTCCCTCCTTTTCTCTCTCCCTTCCCCCCTTCTGTTTCTTTCTTTCTTCCCCTCCTCCCTACTCCTCCTCTTCTTGCAAAGAGGTAGAAAAATTTACCAAGTTAGAATGTAAAGTTTTCTTGTTCATCTCTGTTTGTATCTTCTTTGGTAAATCCTTAAATTGAATTCATATTCAAGGAATGGTTTGTGCCCCACTGCACTGCAATGTCAAGCATAGTTTACTATAATATTATTTAAAGTGCAATTAAATGACTCTAAAGTGGACTGCATTAACTAACAATTTCTTCTAAACAATTATCCAACTTGTGATTATGTATCTTTCTTGCCTGCCTATTTGAAGGGCTGTTTGAGGTTAGGTGTTTAGAATATCAATATCGTTAGAGCATCATAGAAAACCATCATCATGCAGGATACCATATGCTTTCCGTTAGCAAATAGTACCCATTCATACTTCTACATTTAAATACTTAATTAGTCTGTACGTCTAAAGAATTTGTGACTTATATTTTTAATTGAAAGATATTTAATCCTTATCCACTGACTTAATACACATTAATAAAAAGTTCTCTTTTGAATAAGAGTGTCCCTGATGATCAGAACTTATGTTCTTGTGTGCTTCGTTTACATACATATCCTGGATAAACTAGAATATCTAAGTGCAGAACTATCAGAAGAATATGGATACAAATGTTACAATAGGGCCTTTCCTAGGATATGGATATACTTGGGATTAAGTTGCTAGCAAATGTCTAAAAATGCGAGAATGCAGCTTCTCATCAGACATTAGATGTCAGTAGAGTCATAAAATTCATGTGCTATAACCTAAACTCATATGATTTAAATAATTCCTCATGATATGTCTCAAAGCAAATAAGTTTAGTCATATGTTTTTACTTTCTGTTAAAAACGTGAATTTTATAGCTCTTTTAAAAAATTAAGTATTTTAATTTGAAGTAATTGCAGATTTACATGCAGTTGTAAAAAATAATAATAAGAGATTCTATGTACCATTTACCCAATTCCCCCAACAGTAACATCCTCATGAAACTGTAGTACATTCTAGCATCCAGAATATTGACACTGATACAGTCAAGATACAGAGAAATTCTCTTACTGTAAGGGATTGATTCTTTTTTGAGGGGGGAGGCATGTTTTTGTAAATAGAGAAATGTCTGAAAATTTGGCTTAGTCTATGGAAAAATTAAACTATCAACTTTTTAGAGTAGAGTTTTTTTTTTCATTCTGAGCTTGTCTTTCTTCAGAGAGTACAGATGAGAAAAATTCACTAATAATTACATCTCTGTTGAATTGTTATGACTACTGTGTGTCACATGTTTTGTTATTCTCACAGGTACTTATTCAGTAACTAGCTGCAATCGATACTTTGTCTCCTACTCTACAAATATAATACTGTAAACACATCTGAAATTTCTGGAGTATTACTTTAGCACTAAAGTTATTCTGGATTAACAGCAGCTTTATAAATACTTTAAGACTTTACTCAATCCCATTTTAAATTCAAATCACTTTTGAATGCTTTAAGCAACACTAATAGTATGCAGATTTAACTATTGCTTATTTCCAAAGGAAAAATGTAAGACTGATGAGCCATTTCCTTTTTATTTTTTATATTTGTGATAATAACTGAGTAAACATGCTTTTAAGACCGTATTTCAGAAACATATATTTAGGAATGCATATTAAGACTATGGTGAGTTTCTTCTTCCCTTTATTTTCATACTGTAATCTGGTAGATAAGAAAATAACTAAAGCCCTCTTTTTCTTTTACAAGACTATAAAGGAAATGACAAACATCAGTCGAATTCCCTATGCATTTGTATAAAGAAACCATATTTAGTGAACTAAAATATGATGATGGATTTAATATTTTGTAATACCCACGCCACTCTGTTGTCTCATTAACTACATTAAACTAGATCCAGGAAATACAAATTAAGGGCTCTTTGCTAGCATCTTCTGCTATGGGAAAAATGTCTTGTAATATATTGGTTTCATTTACAGATATAGATGAATGCTCTGTGATGCCAGGCATTTGTGGCACAGCTGTGTGCAAGAACATCCCAGGAGGCTTTGAATGTGAATGTCCTGAAGGCTACAGATACGATCCCACATCAAAGTCGTGTCAAGGTAGAGTTCTGGTGATATCATTGGTGGTGGAGAGAGAGGGTGGGTTTGCACCCTGACTTGATTTTAGAAGCATCGGTTCTGTTTGACATCGTAGTCAGGTCTTCTAAGGTGGTAAAATCCACAATATAATTTGATCAGTTGGGTAATGATTGGCTTCCTTCCAGAAAAGTATATCGTGGTCTTTAGGTTTAGAGTTGTGTGATTCGATTGGCCCTCTAAGCTGCGTATGAATTGGAGACCTCCCATGTATGATGAAAGCAATTTAAACACATTTTCACATCATTTAAGTAATAGTCAAAGATAAGAAGGACTTCAAGCTGGAAGGAAACACACACACACGCACACACACAAAAGACAAGTTTAAAAATCATGTGGTCATTACAAGTGTGGTTAGAACCTTTGGTTTTACACCAAGCTTTTCAATGATTTTCTGTACATATAGCAGTGTGTCATTTATTGTAAAACAGGACATGACCTATTTCTGTTATAATTAAATGCATGTAAAGTAAAATCTCATCGTAACCAAATGATAACCAAGCTCTAAAACCTTGAGAAATGCTGATTAGTACTTTTAGTGCCTGCGGACTTGGGAGAGCCTCTTGGAGCTTATAATTACTTCATGTGTGTGCCTCAGGTAGCTGGGACGTGTTCAAGGAATTTTTTTTTTTATCATGGACATATATACAAATTTTCTCACGTTCTCCTTTAAATTTTTAAAAATTTCAAAGTGAACTTAATACCATGACTAAAACTAATCAAATCAACAGTAATTTTTCTGTTGTGGCAAAATATATATAAGATATGTGTCCTTTAGCCACTTTTAAGAGTACAATTCAATGACATTAATTACATTCACACAGTTATGCAAGCTGTTACCACTATCTGTTCCAAAATTTTTCCAAACAAAACTCTGTAACCAGTAAGCCATAAATTCCCCTTCCTCTGTTTCCCAACCCCTGATAATCTCCTTCTGTCTCTAGGAATTTGCCTAAGTCAATAATAATCTTAGAATAGGTTTTTTCAACTATTTATACTCCTTTTGAGATTTTGGTATCTTACAACCTCATGCCCTCACTGAAAAATATCCCCCACCCTCACACCCTTTCTGCTGTGTCACCGCTCCAGATGGAAGTAGGTGTAGAAGCCCTAAGCACTTGCAGATTTATTATTAACCGGCTTCGTCATCAGTATTGTAGTTGTATTCAATAAATGACAGACATTTTAAAGAGGATTTGAACATAACATATATATATATATAACATTTTATTACTTTAATTATACTACTCAATTTTAATGATATTGAGGGCTCACTAATTTTGGGGTTCTATTCTAAGCCATTTTATGGGGAAACTTATGCTTTAATGTACTAATGAGTGGAAATTTTCAGAGATCACAGGGTGTGTTCACTGAAAAGGTCAAGGATCTTATGTAGCTCTGAAATATACTTTAGCTGAAGCTAAACTTTTCAAGAATGATATTCTTAAAATATGGAGTGTGGATAGAGACCATATAGAAGAGTTCACAATAAGTAATAGCACAGTGAGGTGATTTTTTTTAAATCAGTTAAGAAACAAAAATATGTCCTTAGATTTATTTCCAGCATTAATCATTGCATTATGGAGAGTGAAGTGTTCTTGATATGGTCATTTAATTCTTAGTTACTTTAACCTTCAGTTAAAAGAGATCTTTTCTGTTTCCTTTGCTGTCTTCCTATCCTCCACTCCCTGCCTTCTCCTTTCCTCCCACCTTTCCCTTCCTTTCCTTTTCTTTTCTTCAAAGCAAAAAATTAAGAAGTAGTGTCAGTGGCATTTATCAGAAGTGATAGTTACCTTGAGACTCTTAGTCTTTTTTCCTTCAAAATCAGAAAGTTAGTATAATTGTTATATTTTTGTTAATTACTAATTACTGAAGGTTATCCATCAAGTTTGTTGGTTCAGGTGTATAAATAAATAGAAATTACACTTGTAACTTATTTAAATTTCCTTGACAAGTGTATAAATGTTATTTGATTTTCTTTTGCTGAGGATTTATTGTCGATTATCTCATACTAAAATCAGAATACTCCTTCTTCTATTGGCTTGAACATTTAGGAGATATTGAAATTTATGTTCTCTTTTACCCAAGATGTGGATGAATGCTCTGAGAACATGTGTACTCAGCTTTGTGTCAATTACCCTGGAGGTTACTCTTGTTATTGTGATGGGAAGAAAGGATTCAAACTTGCCCAAGATCAGAAGAGTTGTGAGGTAATGTTTTGCAATGCTAACCTTCCTGTCTCGTTTTAAAAATGAGCAATGAGACAAATCAGGAAAATACAGATGTTCTATTATAATTGCTGTCGTTCTAAGCAGGTTATGAGTCACAATCTGTTTACTAATTTTGGTCAGTAAGTGGTAAATATTGTGGGTAATTGGTGACTGAATTAAAAAAAAAATGCTGCAGAGCCACAGTTCAGAGACTGCTCATTTGTATAGATAGCCTGGACATTTACAAAAGGCAAAGTGTATGTTTATTTAAGAAACTGAGAAAAGCTGAGGTTTATACTCTTCTTCGTGAGAAAACAATCTTTCACAGAAACTTTAGTGAAAACATTTGCCAGCATCTACTTTTCTTTATCCCACTGACAAGTTTGATCATGCCTTGGGCGTGTTAGTACTTATAAGAGTGCTCATAAAATCTCAGGTGGAAACGACTTTGTCAGAGTAGGACTTAGTGGAGTTCAAGTATATCAAAATTCAGAGAGGTCAATTTTGTTAACATATGTCTCTCAAACTTGCTTTTAGTTACTCAGATTTAATTCATAATTGAGCCAGCAATTGAACGTTGAGAGTAGGCTCTATTAGTTTTCCTTCCATTGAAATAAATAGGTCAACACTGAAGTTTTTTTTTTCCCTCTAAAAAAGGATTACATGTAGTGATCACTAGTCCAATTCTTGAATCTCTTATAAATTTTAAAAGTGAAGGTGAAATTTTATATGATTATGAGGCAGATAGTAAAAATACCCATAAACTAAATAATGATTTAATCGTGGGTTTATATATATATGTGTCTGTGTGTGTGTGTGTGTATATATATATCTGCTACCAAGAGAAAGCTGCTTATGTCCAAAAAAAAGTAACATTTCATATTATGCCATCTGCTTGGTAAAGGAAGATAAAGTAAGCTAGCTGACATACTAGTAACTTCGGTAGTATGTCATTGAAATGTACTGTGTCTATTTTGTAATTTAGTTTCCTATTATTTCAGTATTTGTTGCAGTTACACATCACCAGCTACCTTGGAATAGATTAATTGAAGTTCTAAGAGGAAATGAGATGTTATTTCTGGACCTAGATTTAATAGACTGCTGTTTACACAATTCCCCCCAGGATATCTCCATATGTATGCTTAAGAACTTATCCCTTAAAAAGCTTTTCATTTTAATGTTTGTTTTCACTCTTAGGAAAAAAAGATGTTTGATAGGTTTAATGACTCTAAATCACTTTTTTGTGTGTGAATTTCTTAGAGATTAAGATGATATCTTAATTTGCATTTATCTCATTCAGATTTTCCACCATTTCCTTTGCTATCTAGATAGCACATGTTTGCCCAGAAAAAAAATTTGGCTTAATAAGACTTTAAAACATACATATTCTTGGACGTTAAACTGATGGACTATACAAGGAAGTTAGACATTACTGTATTATTACCAAGGGTGTTCTTAATTCATTTTAGTACATTACAGAGGATACATTTGACTAGAACACTAGGAACCAGAGAAAGGATGACAGCCTGACACAAACATCAAGCAGTAACCTATGCTTTTGGTTTGTTTTGTTTCCTTTTTGCCAGGCTGTTCCAGTGTGCCTTCCTTTGAACCTTGACAAAAATTATGAATTGCTCTACTTGGCAGAGCAGTTTGTAGGGGTTGTTTTGTATTTAAAATTTCGTTTGCCGGATATCACCAGGTGAGGTACCAATGTCAATGATAATTTCTAGAGGTAAGCAGGTCAGAAGAAAAGTGACTGAAAAGGTTTGAAATGTGTGAAATTTTATTATCAATCAGATAATTTAGGTATATTGTCAATCAAATGATTTGAGATATCCTGAAGTTCATTTTTTTTCCTTCACACATGTGATTTTCATGCTTGCGTCATTTTGGGTCATTCTAGGCTGATCTTCTCCAAGGATCATTTTACCTTAATCCATAATTATTCCTTTTCTAGTGAATATACATTTACTAAGAAGCTGGAAAGTAGATTTAATATATTTGTGAAAATTTCAGTTTTCTTTATACATATAAAAACTAAGCAATGAGAAATGCTAAAAGTATTGCTTTTAGAATATAGCTGCATTCATAATTATTAAGGAAACTGTGTAAGACTGCTTAAGTGGTATTTTAAAGAAATGCATCACATGATTTTAGTTGACTATCTGAATACTTTATCTGCCATTCCTGTAGTTAGATTGGCTTTAGGAAGGGAGTAGGTGCTTCTGTTTTTGAGCTGTGACGTTAATTATCAAAATTTCTCACAGCCATACATTGTTAGAAATAGAAAAAAGAGATTGGAATTTTGTTGGAATAATGGAAAGGAAACATATTTGATACTGATTATAGAGTCCAAATTTTAAAATATTTTAATTAGATAAGCACACATATTTAGAATGTAATTCATTAGATATATGAGTGATTATTCATTAAATAATTCAACTCAATTCATAGAAACCTTATCATTAAGGAACACTGAAATTTATTCACTGTTATAATCAGTCTCTTTCATTACTTCCATTGCCTCCAAGCCCTGGTTTTCCCCTTTAATATCTCAAAGCAAATAATATCTTCTAGTGATATAGATTGGAGATAGCCTTTCCTTGCTATGAGAATAATGAGAACGAGAGAGAAGAATTAATTACTGCATAACTTCAGGCACTTTTCAGGGTATTCAGTTCTCACTGACAATTCACAAAACCCTGGACTCTTATTGGGTCAAATTAGCCAAATATTTTTTTTTTGGTGTTTATTTATTTGTCTATTATTTATTTAGTTTAAACTTGTTATTGAAGTATCATATATACACAGAAATGTACATGTATCTTACATGTACAGCTTGATGAATTTTTATTAGCTGCTACCTGTGTAACCAACACCAAAAACAGCTGAAGCTTGTTTTTTTTCTTTTTTTGCAAATTCCGTCAGCTCTATTTCCCATGATCAAATACTTACCCTACCCCAAAGATAACAAATTCACTTTATTTCACTCTACAATACTTCTGAAAAAGAATGAATTGTTCCCCAATGTAATGAATCAATATGCTGAGTATTCCAGACAGGAAGTATGCAGAACACAACTCTTTGAATTACTGGTTTAGCATGAGTTTACAAAAAGAAGGAAATTATCTCCATAATAGGATTAACTTCTGGAAGATCCAGTGCATACACAGATTTGGATTTTGGCAAGATAATACATTCTTCACCACAGCAAAATGTGATGATTATGAAAGAGAAGTCCCTATTCCAAGCAAAATGGTTCTTTTTAATATAATCTGAGTTCAGTAAATTCCTACTACATTGTTATCTGTCCAACGTAGTTTACTGCACTTTATCTCTTTATAATATTTTCTTGGAATTCTGAAGACTTAAAAGTTTATTCTATCACTTTTTCTTTGTCCCACTTGAGGTAGATTTGTGCCCTATTGCAAAAGGCACCTCTGTTACTATGACCACTGTATATGGAATAAGAAAGCGTATGGGATTCTTTCTTGCCTTATTTAGTAATTATCATAAGTCTTGACTTTTTAACTTAAATTACCTTTATTTTAGCTTAACTCAGATGACTCATAGTTATGCAATTATTTTTCCTATTCCCTGTGTCTTTTTTCAATCATTTTGCTTTGCTGGTCCCTTGGAAACTTTAATGCTGATTCTCATTAAAGAATCCTAAAAGCCTTTAATCTCATTAAAGTATCTAAAAATTGTTATTTTTCAGTCCAGCATCCTTGAGTTTTTTCTTCCCCTGTAGTAGCTACATATATGTGCAGTCTTTATAGCAACAGGCATTGACAGAGCTCAGATAGCCCCAAACACATGATTTTATCTTTTAAGCTCTCCTTCTGTATACTCTAGTGTAGTGATTAATGCAGTTAGTGTTTTGGAAGGTTTTTGAAATTAAGCTAATACATTTATTTAAAAGTTTTCGACTTCCTTACCATGCAAAAAGGCTTAATTATATTTGCAATCATCCAGATGCTATCTTGTATGTCTCTGTGAGTGGTTCCTTCCTGACATATGTGAAATCATAGGGAAAATATGCTTTTTGATGGATAAACCAGTCACGAAATTGTAACATCTTTTACTAATCATGTATGGATACAGCAAAAAAAAAAAAAAAAAAAGAATCTTAATGTCATAGTTTGTAAAAGGCTCCAGGAGAGAGACAATATGCCTAATATTTGTATATGTCTGTTAATTCCAGTATTTTAAAGAATGCCTTCAAAACAAATGCCAAAAGATAGAAAATTATCAAAGCATCTGTTCATTGGGAAAAAAATTCTCCAAGAATAAGCAAGAAAATATAACTTGATTTTAAACATACATGTAGCCAGAGATAATACACGAACAACCTAATTCTGCTCTACTGTTTTGTTAATTCCAGGGAAAGAACAGTTGACTATTTCAACATACTGCTGTTTGCCAGTACGAGAGAAAAAGAATAAGATAGTTTTCCATACTTCTCACTACTGAGGCTCTCTCTTTGTTCATTGCTTAGATTTTCAGCTGAGTTTGATTTCCGGACATATGATTCAGAAGGTGTTATCCTGTATGCAGAATCTTCTGATCACTCAGCTTGGTTCCTGATTGCACTTCGTGATGGAAAGATTGAAATTCAGTTTAAGAATGAATATACAACCAAAATAACAACTGGAGGCAAAATTATTAATAATGGTCTATGGAATATGGTATGTTTTGCAGAATTCATAGAGATTCTTTCCACTTTTATGCAGTTTGTATAAAATCATTAATAATTTTTTAAAATAGTGATACCAAATCAAAATGGATTTGGGTTTATCTGATGTGTGAAGTATATCCTACACACTGTAAATCCCTGAAACGGCCTGAGAAATGGTCACCTCTGTTAAAATATTTCAGATTTCACATAAATGAAGTTGTTTTCAACTATTTGCTTGAACTACTTTGTCTTCAACTTTTTACCTTTTTTAGTGGCTCTCATTGGGTGAACAGTGATATTGCTCTGACAGATCAAAGGTTATGCAAAGACAGCACTGATCAAAGACATCTACACTGGATAGCCATTAATATCTTTGACATGAAAGAGAAATACACACAGTAACAAAATCAAAAGGGTTAATTTAATTTTAAATGTTAACAAATAAATGTAATCAATTTATACAAACAGGATACACTAGCTGGTACTAATCATAGTACTTAGAAACTAGCATTTTTACATAATGACCCTTTATTTTAATAATCAAAGCAGCACTTTAATCTACTGTATTAAAATGGACCTTTTTTTGGAGAAAGGGTTATTTGGAGAAGGGATACTATTAGTCTACAGTGGGGACAATTCTTCTCTGCAGTTATGTCACTGCTACTTTCAGCAGAGAACAGCTGGGAGAAGGTCAGCTTCACCTTAGAATGTTGGGCCCAAAGGAGATACTTCCTAAGCCTATGGGAGCTGAGGAGAGATCTCGGTTGAGCAGTCATATAAAGTCATCCCTAAATTGTTTCATTCTTGTATTTGGCCACTCTTGCAATCATATATTCAATAAGCTTTTAGTGAGCATGTTTAAAGTGCTAAGTTCCTGGGTTCAAGGCACTTGAACTGTAGCAAGAGATTGTCCTTGCTCTTGAGCTCAGGTCCTCACAGTTTAGTAGCTGATGCTGCTTTATGAACTGATACAATGTAATGTGAAATGTGTTACAGTTGAGGTGTTAATAAAGAACAATTGGATACAGCTGTGGTTCACCAAAAAGAGGGGTATCTGCCTTTTCACAGCCATGGATTTTTGGGCTTCTAACCCTAAAAGAATAGTGTCTTCACTGGATCATATGCAATTGTTAGAGAAGTTACTAAAGTTCTGACTTCTGATGCTTGTTAGTGTAGCTTTGTTAATACATCTTTCCTACTGCATGTGTATCTAGAATACTTGGTGCATACAGCTATTCCTCCAGGGTGCTGAAGGGTACACTTTAATGCCCAGAGTTCCTGAATCACCTATCAAAAATCACTGTAATCACTTTTCAGCAAAAGAAAGCACAGATAGAATTTTTTTCCAATGAGTTTATACAGATTGAAAATATCAGCTGTTTGAAGGTGAATTTAGATAAATTTCTAGGTATAAAGAAGAAGGTAAATGCTTACCTGTGAAGTTAACATCATGAGTGGCAGGTAGTGTTTACTAAAGAATTGTTCATGAATGGTATTGTTAAAGGTAGGATGCAGGCTGGACGGAAGGCAGGTGTTCATTTCCATTCATCTGTGACGTTTATAATTCTTGTTAAAAAGAAAATATCATTTAATGATATGCCCATGCTTTAATTAAAACATTTAAATGAAAATCTCCCCCTGTAAACTGAATGCAATATGTGAAAAATAAAATTTAAGGACAAAGAAATCAGAGAAAAACGTTAATCTGGTAATAAACTTGGTGCTAGTTGTTTTTCTTTAAATTGTAATTCCATATTTTAACAATTTATGCATTTTAACACCCCTCCCTGTACATGGGGTTTCTTTTCTCCACATATTTTATTTTTTAAATATTACTGCATGATTTTTTACTAGCATATAATCTTGATGGCTTATCTTTATTGTAAAATTTGTTTCAAACAAATTTTTGTGGCACAGAAATTATTTCAAATAAATAAACATTTTAAGTAAGCATTTTAATTTTAATTAATAATGAAGTTGTTAAATTAATCTATAAACTGGACTATTCACTTGTAGCAGTTGTTTCACTAATTTTAATTTTTTTAAAATTTCAAATAAAATACTTAAGAAATGAGAAATTAAAATTGAAATGTACAACTTAGAATTGTTTTGTAATTCAGATAAATAAGACAGAATGCACAATTAAGTATTACAATGGCTATAACCCATAGAAATAAGTATTGCCACTTTGTAAGTGATTATTATATTTCACAGTTGGGTATAATCCTAACACTGATTGGAAATATGTAATTTGTATCATAATTTCATTCATTCAACAAAATATCTATTGAGCACATATTTATGTGCTATTCCTTCTTCTACGTGGTAGGGATGAACAGTGAATAAAACAAATCACTGCTCTTACGGAGCCTGTTTACTGGTGGTGAGATGAAGACCACACGTGCATCAACAAATAGATATGTCAGGTAGTGATTGATGCTCTGAGGAAAAAAGAAAAGCAAGGCAGGGCAATAGAGAATGATGATGGTGTGTGTGCATCAGAAGAGCCATCTCTGATGAGATCACATCTGACCAGAGACTGGAGGGCACAGCCACAAGACATTTGAGGGAGGGGAGGAGGAAAATAATTCTGTGCCAGGTGACAGCAAGTAGAGTCTTGGGCTAGAGGGTGTGTTTGTTATATTTGAGGAAGAACACAAGGTCAGGGTAGATGCAATGGAGTGAGAGTGGGAGACAATAGCAGAGAATGAGGTCAGAAATATGGTCTTGAATAAGATCATGTAGGGGCATGAGAACGGTAGTGAGGATTTGGACTTTATGCCAAGTAGAAAGACCTTAGATGATTTCAAGAAGTGACAGGATCTAATTTGCGTGTTAAAAGATAATCCTGGTCAGGACCTAATGGCTTTTGTGGAAACTAGACAAGAGAGAGTAAGGATACAAGAGCATATGGGATTAGGACACTATTGTAATAACACATGGAGAGAAGATGGCAGCTTTGACTGGATTGTTGATAGTGGGAGTGGTGAGAAGTGGTCTGATTCTGGATGTTTGTAAGGTTCAGCCTTCAATTTAAGGTAGATAAAAACTTCTGGATGTTCAGTGTAAAGAGGGCTTTAAAGGCCATGAAATTAGTATTGTCAATCTGTGGTTTTAAACCACATCCAGCATAATGCTCTAATTATTATAGAAAAAGAAGGTAAGTTATATAAATAACATATATTCCAATATGTAAATGCTCACGTTCAAGTATAGTACTTGTGAAAGTTTGCTCCTATACATGGAATAACATGAAAACTACAGATGAAGACTTATGCTGGGCATTGTATTGGCAACTCAAATACCATAAGTGCATAAATGGTGTTGCCATCAGTAATAGTAATTTTCCAAAATGGTGAGAAAATCTTAGTAAAGATCCAAATGAAACAAACATCAATCCATTCTTGGTTTACAAGACTATTAGATTCTAGAAAAATTCAGTGAATGCTAAAATGGGGCAGCAAAAATTTTGTATGTATATATACACAAACACAGGTAATTGTATACATGAGTATACCCTACATGAATATCTAGTCGGGGTGTTCAGAAGGTTTGCAGGATAGTGGATATTTTATTATTTGTTTGGCATGACTATCATGCATATTGCAGGGTGTCTAGTCTCCTGCAATGTCACCATACCTGCTACTCACTGTGCCAACTGTAAGTGCTCCACTCCCAAATTTGCCCCAGAGTAGGGCAGCAAAGCCCTATTTTGAAGTATTTGCATGACTAGAGGGAAAAGGCCTGGGGCCTGAGCTCTGGAGCTCATTATAAAGATTGAGAAGAAGAGAAGAATCCAGCAAAGAGATGAGAAGGCATGGTAAGAGTGTGGAGGAGAAGCAAGCCAGGGGGAGGAGGAATGGGAGGCTAAGAACCTCTTTCAAGGAGAAATAATCATTAGAATAAGATGATGCTGATTGGTTATATTAAGGACAGACCCTTGACCACCTTTAAACCTAAAATGTTACCTTTTCTCCTCCTTTAGAGCATAGTTTTTACCTTCCTGTAATAGTGCTTTAATATGCCTGTCGTTTGTCTTTCCTTATTGAGTAGTAAATGTAGTAAATGAAGAACTTGCATTTTGAGTGATATAGGTTTACATGAGGTTACAGCAGTGGCTCTACAAATTGCCTTTATGGCAGGATTTTTGTTTGTTTGTTTGCCATTACTTACTTCCAACCTTTTTAAAAAACCCAAACTACTTTCAAAATTGGAACAACCCAATTTAATTTAATGTATTGTGCTTCCTAAATACCTCAACTGCTTTTGAATTTTGAAATAAAAATAATATGTCTGCAATAAACAAAATGCTGAATGTACGAACTTTTCTTAATTTATATGGAAAATTTATTTACATTAGTGATTTCTTATTTGTACTATCAGACAATTGCAGAATAAGAGCACTTAAAAGTTTTCCAAGATTTTGTAGAGTGATTCACTTTCTTTTTAAAACTGTTAATTTTATGGCTGACTGGGGTTGAAAGATATATATATTATAAATGGGTATTTAACAGGAAAATATTTATTTTAACTTTAAACTTTAAAAAACTTTAAAAATATGGTGTTGATTTAATGTTGATCAAGTATTATCATGTTAAAACACATTTTTATCACCTTTATACTAATTTGACATTTCAAATGTAGTCAAGAAAATTGATAACTACATTAAAATGGTAACTTTGGAAAATTATGTACTGGAATAATAACAGGATTTTTCAATCTTAGTGTTGCAAATGAAGTGCAGTAATGTTTAATTATTTCATAATTTTTGTCTTTTCAATTGTAGGTCTCTGTGGAAGAATTAGAGCATAGTATTAGTGTAAAAATAGCTAAAGAAGCTGTAATGAATATAAATAAACCTGGAAGCCTTTTTAAGCCTACAAATGGGTTTCTAGAAACCAAAGTATACTTTGCAGGACTGCCTCGGAAAGTGGAGAATGCACTTATTAGACCGGTAATGATACAAGCTTATATCACTCATCATGGATGAATTCCTTTTGTCTGTAATAGATTTGAAAATGTGTTTTTCTGAGAGTCAAAAGAAGTTATTTTGTTGAACATACCAACTGTGACAACTTGAACTGAATGTGTAAAATGAACATTATCGACCCCTGAAATTATGTTAAGGAAGTAATAAAATGAATGTAGTGTTTTTGAGTCCATTTAAATTCCCAGCATTACTCATGGAGAAGTAGATTTTTAAAGATTCTCCAGGCTTCACTTCAATGTTAACATTGTAAAAGAGTCCATACTTAGCCATTAAACAAATAAATATGTATATTTGAGTCCAAAAATACAGTATTTTGTAGAATCCAATCAAAGAGCTTTCCTAGGTCTATTTTAGGACTAAAATTGGGGAGATAAGAAGAGCACATAGGGTGGAACTTTTTAAGAAGAAAAATCTCTGGTGGGAATATGACTGTAGCCTGTCATAAATTGAAGTTAGATATGGTAGATGATTTTTCTGTACATGGTGTTTGTCTAACTTCTGTGGAAAAATTTTCTTGAAGGAGACCAATCACTGACCTTGAAGAGTTTTAAAATTTTCATTTGAAGTCATGGGTCTTCCAGTTTTACGTTGCTGACTTAACTTAAATATTTACCATTTTATATCCATCTTTCAGTTACCTTAACTTTTAAAGGATTTCTGTGATATGATATAAAACCTGAAGTAGTTAACTCATGTCAGAGTGAATATACCTGTCCTTTGAAATTGATAAATCAAGACAAAAGTAAAATAATCAAGATAAAAGTAAAATAAATTATTCAAAAAGGATCAACTATTTATGAAATGGCTACATGTCTTGAGTCTTGCTGGGTGCTCTGTGAGACTAAAGAATGCATACACTTTTGTTCCTGAAGAGACTTAGTTTCTGATGGCAAGACAAACCTAAATTGTAAATGCAATTAAAGAAAAACAGAAAGCAGCTTAGAACCCAGGGCCACAGCTAGAGGCATATATGTTACTTGAGAGCAGAAAAGTTAATACTGGCTGATACAGGAGAGGCAGGTAAGGCTTGAGGTATTAAAAATCATCAGGTTCCGAGAGGCGGTTTGTGACGGCACTTTTACTGAAAAAGACTGCCCATCTGAAGGACACCTTGAAAAAAATTTAAGATAAAATCAAAATATTTTAAACATTTTTAAGTGTCATCAAAGAAAAGATTTTCCCTTTAAATGAAAACCTTTATCTATAATCAAGGTAAGTCACTTATGAGTCTGTATTTTTTAAGTTTAAAATGCATTCATTGATCTATATTTTAATTTGTTAGATTAACCCTCGTCTAGATGGATGTATTCGAGGCTGGAATTTGATGAATCAAGGAGCTTCAGGAGTAAAGGAAATTATTCAAGAAAAACAAAATAAGCATTGTCTTGTCACTGTGGAGAAGGGTTCCTACTATCCTGGTTCTGGAGTTGCTCAATTTAGCATAGATTATAGTAAGTGATTTTCCATTTTATCTCTTTTCTCATTTATGTCTAAATTTATTCATTGATACACAGCAGTGACTCCTTCAGTAAATGTCATTGAGTGCTTACTGTGTCCCAGACATAGTGTTAGGCTTATTCATACTGTTACATATTTTTAATGAAAATTTCCCAGTATATTGGGAGAAGAAAGGTAGTTGAATATGCCTATGTTATTATTTAATGGTTATTGGCACATAACCTGATTAATTTTGGATAAATTTAATTGACATTATAAGGTTCACCAATTTCTCAATTGTATTGAGTCTACTGATTAATGCATCAAAAGGATTCCTCTTTATTTCCAGCATTTCCATTTGATCCTTTCTTAAAGTGCCCACCTCTCCATTGAAATTTCCTATCTCTTCATACATGTTGTCCATCCTTTCCACCTAAGTCTTCAACTTATTAATCATAATTATTTTAAATTCCTTGTCTGATAGTTCCAACATCTGTGTCATATTTCAATCTGATCATTTATTTTTTATTGAAATATAGTCAGTTTATAATATATCAATTTCTGGTGCACAGCATAATAGTTCAGTCATACATACACATACATATGTTCGTTGTCATGTTGTTTTTCATTGTAGGTTACTACAAGATGTTGAGTATAGTAAATAGAGTAAATCTTTTAGTTTTAATTATTACCCCAGTTTCTACTGAAGTTGAATATCTCACCATATGTTTATTAAGTATTTGTGTATCTTAATTATTTTGTTGGGTTCTTTGTCTTTTTCTGTTTTAGGAGTTCATTATTTGAGCTACTAACACTTTGTATTATAAATTTAGCACTAATTTGATATCTCTGCTTTAAGGAAAAATGGTATTTTAAATGTGTTTATTTGCAGCCTTAAAGAGTATTACTGCAGTTTTAAGAAAGAATCTTAAAACACTAGTGCTGTTTTCTTAACATAAATCAATACAATGTCTTTAACTTTAGCTCTGTTCTGTATATGAAGGTTTTTAAAAAAAGTTTTAATTGGGTTGATGACTGAATATAGGAAAAAACTAGGCCCACAATAATTTGTTCAAAGGAAAAAAAGTCTCTCAAGAGAAAATGAAAATAAGAGTTATATTGTACCTGGAAAAAATTACTTTCATAAGTAATTAGTTATTTAATGGATAGCATGAAAATGACCTACTTTATAATTAATATTTAATGCTGCATTATAATTTCTGTACATTTGCATACTCATTTTAGTTTGAGTTTGTTAATATCTTGTAGTAAGTTAACTTCAAGATGGTTATATGTATTGTTTTTTCTTTTGGGTGGGAATTAAAGGATTATTGTGAAAAATGTATTAGATGTGACTAAATGGAAGAACATCTTGTCAAAAGAAAAGTATTCTCTCCATTCACATTCATGCTTTCAAAGCCTCGAAGTGGTATTAGGGCTATTGTTACGTATTACTTTATATTAGATGAGGAAGACTTCATTCAGATTGTGAACTAATATTTTCAGAACTCAAACTATTTTGAAATCATATTAATTCAACAAATATTTGGTAAGTGACTCCTGTGGAAAACAGTGATAGTAGAGGTCTGTAGAGATTGAAGTCTAGTGGGGTAGACAATTAATCTAGTGATTAAGAAGAATTTTAAGTCTTATGACGAGAGAATCACGGAAAGTTCCTATTAGAATTTCAGAGCCGACTGTTGACTTCAGAGTATTTCTCTGCTATCAAACTATCCAACTCCGCTATGTGTAGGGATCATATTTTTCTTGCCCACTTTGTAACCTGACCTCTATATGAAAGAGGATTGGTGGGGTGGGAGTGGCAACTATACCCACATTTTTCCTCAGAAGGTTTGCAATAGATTTGTTTTTTTGTTTGTTTGTTTTGGGAGGGGGAGAGGTAATTAGGTTTGTTTGTTTGTTTGTTTATTTATAATGGAGATGCTGGGAATTGAACCCAGGATCTTGTGCCTGGTAAACACATGCTCCACTACTGAGCTATACTTTCCCCCACTTAAAACATTTTTTGGTGTGGGGAGGTAATTAAGTTTATTTATTTATCTTAATGGAGATACAGGGGATTGAACCCAGGACATCATGCATGCTAAACACGTGCTGTAACACTGAGCTATACCCTCGCCCCTAGATTTGTTGAATTTCCTTCCGGTGAGTACTTTAAAGTATGACCACTCTGAGATTTGAGCATAGGAGAATATATAAGACAGAAAGAAAAGCTGTTCAAAGAGCAAACGGAAAATTCACAATAATCCTAAACACCACAATCCAGAATTCATTTCTAGGAAGAAGGACAAAAGACTGAGGCTCCATTTGAGTGTTTCTTGCCTGCATTAAAAAAATATTTTTCTTTTGTTTTGTTTTGCCTAGGTTATACAGATCATTGAGAAAGAGAACTAAAATCTTTAGTATCACACAGAGATGGCTTTGAGATATTAGTAAGATTATAATAATTCCTTCTGATGCATCTAAGGAGTCCGTTGATCCTGCTTCTATTTTCTTGTTTAAACAGAGACTGTGTCCAATGGTGAGGCTTGGCAAATGAATGTGTCCTTGAATATTCGCCCATCAGCGGGCACTGGTGTTATGTTGGCCTTGGTATCTGATAACACAGTGCCCTTTGCCTTGTCCTTGGTGGACTCCACCTCTGAAAATTTTCAGGTAACTTTACTCTACACCTTTAAATATGGTATGATCTGATCTTATCTGATATGATATGATCCTTAGTTTTAAATTTTTATCTTTGCTTTTTCTGTAAAATGGATAAAATGGTGGTATTTATCCATGCTCTTTTGAAGATTAAATGAAATAACTTATATAAAATATATGGCACAATCTCTAGCACATCATTAAAGACTCAAAAAATGTTCATTATTATTACTTTTTTGCTGCCTTATTTCCAAGATTTGAACCAAGAAGTAAGGGGGGAATATGGGAAAGTCTCTTGCATCTATAGCTAAGATTAGGCAGCTTCACACATGGCCTGCTTGGAGCCTTCTCTAAGTGCACAGAGACCCACCCTTACTCCAAGTCTTTGAAGTGTCATGGGAGTTTGTACTAACAAAATAGAAGTGAGTCAGACCGCAGTCCACTCTGAAATATTCAGTTCCTAATTATAATATTTTGTGTTTTCTGGCACTCTTAATCTTTTCTCCCCTAAGTAAATTAAGAAAGACTAGAGAAACCTAAAACCAATCCACTTGGTTTCTTTCTGGAAACTCTTTTTTGAAATTAGGAAGAAGAACAGGAAAAACTCTTGAATAAAAGGAAACATGAGATTTATTGGAAGATCTGTATTATTCAACCTTCTATTAGAGGCTAATAATTCTGTCCATGTGTCATCCACAGTGGGTTCCAACAAGTTACAGCAAGAAGCTTGCGTTTGTGCCAAGGGTGGCTCAGATGCTCTCTGTAGCTTTTAGAAAGACACCATATAACTGACTAATGCCTGTAGTAATAAAAAGGAGTGCTGATTGCAGCTTAAAGGATGGTTGGGGGCAGTTTCTGGTGGTTAACTGTAAGCAACCTAAAAAGATTCTGCTGAGTTTTTATCTCCATTTGACCACAGGACATTACTATGTTTGGATTTCAGCTTTTTGTTTGCTTCTTTTTTTCTTTTTCTTTTTTAAACAAAATGGAAATCCTACCTTCAACACTACATTCATGCAGTAGAGGAGGTTAACGCCTGCCATATCTTTGAAGTTTATTTTGTCTTTTCTGTGTTTGTCTTCATGGCTTTTTTTTTTTGCATATCAAGTTGCCATCTCAAGACCTGTGTAAAACATTTCATAACATTACTCCACATGCTATTGATCATTCTAGAACATTTTCTCACTGCCCATCTTTAAGACTTTCAATAAGTTTAGAGTATGGATATGTGTAACACAGTAACAGATTTCCTCAAATAACCTGTAGTTGGGAAGTATAGACTTCATTTAACATGGGTGTCTTGGATTCCTAAGTAAACATTTCAGACTATTTTTCTACTATCTGGTCATAACACTTGTCTCCCTGGGTTTGGTTTTATTTTCTCTGTCTTTTTACCTTTCCTCTACACACATGTAAGCTATATGCATACGTCACTTTCAGCAACTTGAGTTGTGTAGTGTATCAGCAGTTTAAAAGTTCAGAAAATATATTTTCTTTTTTGAGTATATTCTGGTAAATAACTCTGTAGCTTACTGCTGGCGATCCTAGTTTTTCTCTCTCAGAGACTTCACTCAGTTTGTTCCAAGTCTACAGGATTGCTTGTGTGGCACAAATAAACCTTTCAGTCTTGCTGGCATGTGCTTACTAAAGCACTTGAAATTTTCCAAGTCTTTTCTCCAACAAAGAGTGATTCAACTCCTTCCTTTTTCATATGTAAATATTGAAATTAGGAAGGCTCATAAGCAGAAATATATTGCTTAAGACACTATGTAAGGTTCCCATTGTTGGTGAGACAACTCGATGTACTGAATTTTCAAAACCTGCTATACATTTGTATCTCAGCTAAACTTGGAGTTTGTAAAACTAATGTATATTCTAAAATTATGATTATTATAGTAACAAGTAGTTTTTTCATTTAAACTTGAAGGCTCTATTGTACTTTCCCCCCCTAATTGAAATTCAGTTTTTGAATTTGGAAACTAAAAAGGCACTGTTAAGTGGCATTACCATTAGTACTCGCTAATATTGAGTCTTTGCTCTGTTCTTCAGGATATCCTGGTATCTGTTGAAAATACGGTAATAGCTCGGCTAGAGGTCTTAAGTCTGTGTTCCAGTCAACAATTCTATCTGGAAATCAGAGTCAATAGAAACAACTTGGAGCTGTTGACTGAACTTAAAAAAAGTAGCATCTACTCTGAAGATTTTCAAGGACAATTTGCCATCTTGGACAAAGCAATGCAAGGAACACTGGCCACTTACTTGGGTGGGCTTCCAGGTATCTGCTTACTTTTTCTTCAGTTTTAAAAAGTGTATTTTTAATGCAATTGATAGTATTTTAAATATGTATTTGTGGTAAAACCACAGCTGTATATCTATATATGTATCTATCTATATATATATGCACAGCATATGTAATTGTAGTAAACAGGCATCAGAAGGAAGTCAGAATCCCAACATCCACTATTCTTTTTCTGAGGGTTTGCATGGACATTTTATTGGTGCATTTTTATTTATTTATTTTTTAATAGTGAACTGTAACTAACCAAATTTTGCAGCATTTGATGATCCTAGCCAGAAAGGATTTATTATATCATTTTATCTTCACAATTATCTTGTGAGTTTAATATTTATTCTTCAATCCAACCATTACTCACTCAATATTTATTAAGAACCTGTGTCCCAGGCAGCAGGGACATAGTAATAAACAAATGATATGATGTCTGCTGTTTAGGCTTTTACAACCCAGTGGCAGGGACAAATATTAAACAAGTGATTAGGAAAATATCCAAAAAATTAAAATTGTCATAATTTCCATGAAGGAAAAGTGAGGGTTGCTTTTAGATCCTGAAATTGGAATCTTGGTCTGGTTGTGGGAGCCAGGAACAAACTCTCTGAAGAGAGGCTAAGATACAAATCTGATCTTTGAAAGATTAAATGAATTTAACCAGGCGATGAGGGTGGAGATTGGAGCATGTATGCAAGTAAAATTGTCCATGTGTGTGCCAAGTGAAAGGGAGTTGACATGCTTGAGGAATATATAGATCAGTGTGGTATGGTGAGAGCATATTGAGCAAGAGGGATGGTAGTGCAAGAGGAGGCTGGGAAGTTCGTGAATGGGTGGCAGGTTTGTCGACCTGGTTCAGGGTCCTGCGTCTTATAAGAGTCATGAGAATCATTAAAAAGTTTTAGACAAGGAACTGATATATCAATAATGCAGTTAAAAAATCCCCCTGCATGATGGACAAAGATGGCCAGGTGGGAAGAACAAGTGAATGGGCTGAGCTGGGGGCTACTGAAGTAGTTCAGATGAGCAAGCAGTAATGATAACAGTAGTGAAAACTATACTGCCGTCAGTTAGTGCATGATACACAGTCTGGGCATGGTTCAGAGTGCGCCAAACGTATCAACTCATTTAAAACAGTCCTGTGAGGCAGGTACTGTTGTTATCTCCATTTTACAGGTGAGGAAGCTGAGGTTGCTGCTGGACTAAGGCTGGCAGTGGAGATAGTATACAATGAATAGGCCGGAGATACATGTGAGAAACAAAGAATCTCTTGAGTATTTGGCATGAGCAGTTGCATGGGTGAAGATTCCATTTACCAAGATGGGAAAATCGAAGGAAAAATTGGTTATCTTTAACTTAATATTGGAAAATATGAAATGGGCATCAGCATTTTACTTTACATGGCAAAAAAGTGGAGGCAGAAAGTTCTTCAGAAGTATTTTCAAATACCATTTACATGTCATTCTCATGGGGAGAATTCTGAATTTGATGTCTAGACTTCTGGTAACTTTCATTAAATTACTTTAACTACTCAGTGTATTCATTTCCTCTATATGGAAATTTCATCTGGGTTTTGGGGGAATAGAATTAAATTGGCTATAAAAGTTATAAATAGATCATAGATAGATATAGTTACCTTAATGTGGTTAATTACGAGGAAGTATAATTATGGTTCAAATGAATGAATTCTACGTTGAAAATCCCTTACTACCTGATTCACACATTAGCTGAATGCAGTTTTAGAAAATCAAACAAGTAATGAAAGAGTTTAAAAGAAGTAAAAGTATCAAAAAGTTCAGTGGTTCCAGGAATTTGGCAGTAGCACTGAAGACTGACTTCAGGCAAGGTGTGTTTAGAAAAAAGAGTGAGGGAAACTTGAGGATAACTGAAAATGGAGGCATTGAGAGTGTGAACAATGGGATGAGTAACATTAATTTATATGCAAAATAGGTATGTTAAATTGCATGTTATGAATTAAAAATCAGGGGAAATTGATGATTCTGAGGATATTTATAATAGCAGATATTTATAATATTCTATGATACTCAGCCAGACTTGAAAGGGTTTCTTAAAAATGCTATGAGCCCATAGAAATGCATGGACTTTATTCAGTGTGTTGGCAAGTTAGAAGTAGAAAATTTGAAGTATACATTTTTTGCATAAGGTAATAAGGAGGAAGAATAAGGACTCAAGAATATCCATTGGGAATTCAGATTCATGGAGATGAGATGCCAAAAAAAGAGGACGCAAGTAGAGAGATGGATGTTTTGAAAATGAACCATAGAGGTGTTGCTTAAGTATTATGTTTGATAAGGAGAGTGAAAGTGTAGAAAGGCCCAAAGGCACTAAACTATTCATTGAAGCATTATTAAAATTGTTGTTTTTTAGAACACCAAACATTACATGAAAGTGAATTCCCTATCATGACCTGCCATTGTGTACTCAGCAAGACACTATTTTTTTGGAAAACATAGAATTCTGCTTTTTCTAGCAATAACAAAAGAGATATATTTATCGTGGCATTTAAAAAGATTTCCAAGTAGCTATAATTTTGAGTTGAAAACAATGACTTAATAATGCTTAAACTGTTGGTCAGATTTAAAGAGAAAATAATAAAGTAGAACATCACTAGTAAGAATATTCTATTTTCTACTCCTTTTAAAGTATGTTTATTTATCTGAGGTTTGGGTGGAACTGTTTATGAAATCAGAGGAGCTCATGATATGGTGAATTCAGTGCCAAGCACAATACCTTACATATACAGGAGTCACTTAATATGAATTTATTGAATGGAATTGCATTGTTAACTTTTCCTTTAAAATTAGAATTTGGTTGGAAATGAGAAGTCTGAATAATTCCTCTAACTGTAAGCAAATAAGATGCTAAAAGTCTTGGGCTAATATTTTAATATTTTGTTTTTACAGATGTCCCATTCAGTGCCACACCAGTGAATGCCTTTTATAATGGCTGCATGGAAGTGAACATTAATGGTGTGCAGTTGGATCTGGATGAAGCCATTTCTAAACATAATGATATTAGAGCTCACTCATGTCCATCAGTTTGGAAAAACACAAAAAATACTTAAGGCATCTTTTTTCTGCTGATACTATCTTTTTCCTGTGTGTAATTATGCTTGTGTTTCAATAATAGTTGAAGGGTTTTACCTGCAATGTGCAGACCTGGATGATTTTGTGGTACTTTAACCTCCCTGGAATTTTAAAAAGATCCTTTTTCAAGAAAACAAGATTCTCTTGTGGTGTAAATCACATTAATTTTTTTTTTTACCTCTGTTGCTGTCTAGAAATTAAATAATGAAACAGAAAAATTTTAATTTGAATTTTTTGTTACAATTGAGATTTCATTTTTATGTTTGTTAAAGATAGATTCAATTTGATCATCGTGAACTAGTGTTTAAATATTTATTTTTCTGGTAAGGCACGGATGTTAAAACCTTGTTGGAACCCAAACAAAAGTGCATTTGACTAAATAATGTTACTAGCCCTCTCAGGTCAGAACAAGAGTCCTTTTACCTGGTGTCGTCCATGCCAGCAGAATGACATCAGTTCGGTTAAGAAGCAAAGGAAATCTTTATTCTTAGATCAGAGGATGGAGCCGTGTGAGCACACGCTCTCCCGCTCCCCGCCGCCACCCCATGCCAGGCTGTGGGCGGGTCTCCTCAGGAGAGCGGGGCCAGAGTTCTCGCGGGACAGGGCCGGAGTTCTCGCGGGACGGGCACAGCCATGCTGCTCATGCCCCGGACCGCAGCGCAGCGGCTCAGGCCCGTCGCCGCCATCTTGAATGGCAGTGTCGTGACCAGCAGCTTCTGCACCGCCCGCTGAGCTGAGGTGTTGGGCGCTGCTGTTTCACACGGGGAACTCTGGTCTGAAGGGCCAGGTTCAAGACCTCTGCATGCAGCGCCCTGTGAGCAAGTGAAACTAGACTAAGCACAAAGGAAAAAAAAGGTTAGACTTTATTTTATTACTCAGATTCTGTTTTTATTTCCTGGGAATTGCTATTGGGCTTTGCCGGTGACACTGTTGATCACAGTAGATGCTGTTGGTTTTCATTTTTTTCGCATGATGGCAGAAGAGACAGTGGCCTATTAAGCATGAATGGAGTGGAGGGCTTTAAAGCTTTATTCCAGAACAATCCTTCAGGGGGACGAGCTTTGACTATCTTTCTTTCACCTGGTTTAGCATTTGAACCAGTAGCTTTACTGAAGTGGGGCAGATTTTCATGAGAGCAGCACATGGATCTTGCTGGTTAGTAATTGGATTCTATGAGGTTGGGAGACTGGATTGTGTTAGAAAGGGTATAGAAACCTGGGATGGGTACATTCCGTAAGTTTGGCTGTGTGGGTCACACAAGTGACCATTTAGAAAAAGCAAAACCTAATCATGGAAAGAATGAATGAGAGGATAAATAATGTGGAAGCTCATAATTTTTCTTGAATCCAACTTGAGTTACCAGAGTAAGTTGCCAGAATATTATTGCTGAAGGACAAAAGGAACTGTGAGAACTAGAATAGATTTTAATAAAAGGATAACCACAGAGGGACATAGTTAATGTTGTGCTTTTGTAATGCTGTGTCTTTGAAGTAAGGAGGTAAGATTGCTTTGTACTTGCTGGCAGTGCATTTCGAGTGGCAGTTTTCTCCCTCTCAAGCCTACTATGCACATTAGGAATGTATCAGTTGCTTCACTGACAGCTTTGGAAAATAAACTTTTTCCACTATAGATATTTTACATCATGTAAGATGTAATTAATTGATGATATTTTGACAACTTATATGAATAGTATCTATATTCTATCAAGTCTTTGAACAGAACATAAAATTATGTAACATACATGCAACTCTATATGCTGCACAATAGTTCTTTAGGAAAGACAGATAACGGAAATATTTGATCAGTAGTTATGGTTGAGTTGTAGACTGAAGCTCAGAAAGTAAAGAAAAGCAAAAGTAACATGTATTGAGTGTTGACACATGCCAGAAATTGTGTTAAATCAACTTACTGAATGTAACTTCTCTCCTGGTTATCAGCATGTACTGTGTGGGTGACAAATTACAACAAGGAACTACTGATAATTACATTGCTGTAAAAAAAGCAAGGAAGTAGTAAAACTGAAAGTATATGAAAAGAAAAAAAGAAGAAAGGGAAAAAGGAATTTTCTTTAGGGAGAAGTTCTCTGATTCTCATTTAATTACGTCCAAATACAATGACAGTTATAGGAATCAATTTCACATTTCCCATCAAAAACAGAAACCTTTCAACATGTGGTGATCTTCATAGGGGCTCCAAGAGGCTTGTTTATGAACTTCATCTGTCTTTTGAGATGCACTTCAGTATGGCTTAGAAAGAGAGGGTCTAGATCTGTGGCTAGGAGTCTTTCACTTGCTCTTTGATTTTAAACTTGGCCAAGAAATACAGATTCCTACTTTTAAAGTGTGATAGGGAACAATGGTTTCATGAAGACCAAGTCGGGTATTTGGAGCTATTTGAGCTTTGTGTCATGAAAGAAAAATTTAAGTGACGAGGTCATTACAGATTCCTCTAGACACTACCACTTGCAGAGATGGATTACAGATTAGTGAAAAGCGTGGTTAATTTGTGAGAACAGAGTTATTTACTTCATTTTCCAGTTGGAAGTTATAATTCCAGTCTCAGTCCCCTTATGTGAGGCTTATGAAGTATTTCCAATTTTCTTTTCATTCTGGAATTGATATTATTGGTGGAGAGAGGACCTTTCTTCTATGTTTGTTTAGTAATTGCCTTATTTCTTTTGGAAATCCCTTAGGCGTTTAATCTATATGGTCAGTACAGAGAAAAAGACAGATGTTTGAAATAATTTCAGTTCAGATTTCCTGATATTGCTATTAATAATATAAGTTTGAAAGAAGACAGATTCTCTAGAACCTCTTGGAACAAGTGTGATAAATTTCTAACTCATTCAGCAACAAATGTTCATTGAGCACCTACTCTGTGCATGTGCAGTCAAAGGTAGTAAGTCTGAAGACCTAAGTTCAACTGAATAGGAAGTGACAGTACTCAGTTAGGCCCATGGTAGACTCCAGACTCCTCCTGTTCTTTAGAGTTTCATAGTTGGTCCTTTTAGGCTGTCCTAAGAAATTGAAGCAATAAAACTTAATCATTGCTTCTATATAGGAGCAGTTTGTTTCTTACAAATGAGACTGGTTTAACTGTGATCTTGAACGTGCATTACTTGTTATACCAGGCTTCAAGCTTTCACAGAGAACTTATATTTGAAAATTGGATTTTCTCCTGCAGAAGAGGCATTGGTCAGAGGTTCACCCAGTGTGTGCTTAGGTCCAGACCCAGTCCACGGCTGTCTTGTGTTCATGTTTACCGAGTGTGAAAGTGAGGGGCAGTTACCTGGGTCAGCATCCTATGAGGCTTTCTGGTGCATATTAATACAAACAGTGCAAGGCCAGATTATCAAATCGGACTGAAACGATATGTGAAGCTAAGAGCGTCAGAAATAGATGGAGATCAAGTGTTGGGAGGTTTGGAACAAGTAGCAGAGCCTTGAGGCTGGGAGGAATTTCCCTAGCCACAGTCAACTGCTTCTTTAATGCTTTGGACCTGCCATGTTACAGCAATAACTTTGTGGGTCAGAATAGAATCCAGTGAACTTATAAACTCATTTTTTGCTAACCTACTTCCCACAAGAAGCCCTCTCCATAAATAACCCTAATTCTGTGAGAGAAATAATATAATAAAACTTGTATTTTACTAGTGCAAAATTCTCTTCCATGCTAGTTTCAAATGGTGGAATCTGAAATCTCTTCTATAACTAGTCTTCAGGTAGAAAAACCACTTGTTTGACTCTGATCTTATTTGGGGAGAAGAGAGATTGGGCCAATATCTAACTGACATAGGAAGGGTCTAACATTATCTGGAGTTCCCAAATAATAAATAAATATAAAAAACAGTAAATTATTTTATATAAATATAAATAATACATATAAAAATTTAATTAAACAAAGCCATATTGAACACTGAGGCTGAAGCTGGAGCCTTCAGAGATGGAATATTTTCCTGAGCCAACCTGGCAGGTACAAGGTAGCCACAGAAGCTAGGAGCTGGCTGTTCTGGAAAGTAGGCACAGTCTTAGCTTTCTTTGTCCATGTAGCAACTTGCCAAGCTGAGATTCAGACCCAGGATACCTGGCTCAAGAGTCCATGGCCAAATTTAAAATTCTTTACTGCCCCTACAGTCTTACTAGTTATCACATCATTTAGTAAATGTTATATTGTTGGAGTGAACAAATTCTCTCTCCAGCTCTACGTATAACCTGCTGTGACACTGAGTCTTAGTTGATCAACTTATGATATCAACAGTGTTATCAACTTAATGGTTTTGAAGACAAATTCATATTATTTAATTCGATTAGGCAAATTCTGATAATGACTCTGAAAACTTACATGCAGTGGGCCCTCTATATCTGCAAATTTCGTATCTGTAGATGCAACAAACCATGGAACAAACATATTCAGAAAAAAATAATTCCAGAAAGCTCCAGAAAGCAAAACTTCAAAATTTGCCACACGTTGGCAACTATTTACATGGTATTTACATTGTATTAGGTATTACAAGTAATCTAGAGGTGATTTTAAGTCTATGGGAGTATGTGCATATGTTATATGCAAATACTGTGCCATTTTATATATGGGACTTGAGCATCCTCAGATTTTGAAATCTGTGGGAGAGGCTTCTGGAACCAATCCTCTTTGGATACCAAGAAACTACTGTAATTATAACCCTGGATTAGATACTATCCTAGGAAAACAATGGAGAAAATGCCCTACCCCTGCCATCAATGTATTCAGTCTTGGGGATAGCAGACATATGGAGGAGTAATTCAAATATGAACCCAAGTTTCATAAGAGATGCAACAGAGAAATAAACATTTACAGGGGATTATGGGAGGAAAGAAATGGATTTAAATGGAAACTTAGAAAAGTGCTATTTGCATCAGGCTCAGTAAGATAGATAGGAATTTCTATTAGTTTCTCTGCTTTCAAGCCCTGTTTACCACAATGTTTTCAGATGATCTCTCACAGAGAGATCTTATTTCTCTATAATCTTCAAAACTTCCTTTGTTTTTCTACCAATTATTGAATGAAGTAATATACATTGTACATATTTTCACTCCTGGCTTTCAAGGGCTTTCATCATTAAACCAGTGAATCTCAACCCAAATGCTTCTTAGATTCATTGGCTCTATCCCAGACAACTAAATCAGAACATTCTCATGGGTAGCCAGAGTAACAAGCCACAGATCCAGGCTCTGTGTACCTCTCTAACCTCATGCATCCCCCTCATCCTTTTGTCTCCCATGTATATATGAATGTGTACACACAGGCATATGCACATACACATGCGCACATATATGCAAGCATGTGCACACAGAAGGACAGACAAAAAGAAAAAAAATAGGGTGAAAAATCGGGACAGGAGAAAAGAATAGAGAGGAACAGGGTGTGTGTGTGTGTGAACAAAGCCAGCAGGAGAGAAGAAGACAATGAAGAAAAGAGAAAATGGGAGAAGATATGAAGGATATGAAAACAGATTCAGTGAAATATTCGGCAAGATACAGAATGAAGAATAAAGGAGAGGAAGGAAAGACTACAAAAAGATACTGAGTGAAGAGGATAAAGTAGACATAGAGAAAAAAATTTGAAAAGAAATGAAATATCTACTGTAGACAAATAAAAGTAAATAGTGACAAATGGAGATCTACAGAGAGATTAAAGAGAGACAGAGATAATGAAGTAGAAATTAAAAAAAATAAGTTGAAAGAAGAGAAGTTTAGGAAAGAACAAAGGGAGAGAGAAAGAAAAGATAAGACCAGGTGAACATAGAAAGAGAGAAAAGAATTGGGTAGAACAAAGGAAGGTGAGCCAGGCATAGAGAAAGGAGAGATGGAAAGAAAGAACAAATATAAATGGAAAGAAAAAGGGAAAGAATGCCAGGAGAAACAACAAGAAAGAGAGGCAGACATAGAAATCAATAAAAACATGAATATGTCTGAAAAACAAAGCAGGAAAATAGAATAATAAAAATTAAAAAGGAAAAAAGTGAAAGAAATGACATGGAAACAGAGTGATAGAGATGAAGTCAGAAAAAAGAGATAGAAAAACAGAGTGAGGCAGAAAGAAGAGGAGGGTGCTAAACTAGATTATCCAAGGTGAGGATGGCAACCATGACTTGGAGTGGAGATGATGTCCCTGGAGGTGGAGCTCTTGGCCAAGTAGCTACTAGAGAATGTATACCCCCAAGTACTGGAAATCTGTCATCAAGGAATCTGCTGTAGTAGATAGGGATCATGGTCTTCTAACATTTTGCCAAGAATGGGGCTGTCAGTCAACTCTGTTCCTCTAGCAGGTTCTATTGAAGATGGTCTAAGCAGTACACTTCCATGTCTGCCATGGTCACCTCTGACTGTTAGAAAGCTCTTCTTTATAGTAAACAAAAATCAGACTCTCAATACTTAACACTAAATGCTCCTCTGTTACTGACATAAAAGAATTAGGACAGCACTGGTTGGCAATAGAAGACTCAGTAGGAACTAGCTTAAGCAAAAAGAGAATTTTTGGAAAGGTATTTGGTTAACTTATGAAATTCAAGGGTTGAAAGTCCTAGAGCTTGGGTTGCTGCAGTGAACTAAGGAAGTTTCCTCAATATTGTTTCTCATCGCTATTTCTCTCTGT